CATCTCCATTATCACGGGAATTCTATCCGGTGCGTTCTACGGCGCCCTCCTAAACCCGGTCCTCCTCTACCTCCCGCTCTTCTTCGAAGCTGTCTACCTGGAAACACCGACCCAAGCGGCCAAATCCATACTCCCGCTCTGCTGCCTCATCGTGGCAATGAGCATCATCGTCTCCCTGCTCATCGACTGGAGACGCAAGTACCGCATCGCCCTCTGGACAGGCTGGTTCATCACCGGTATCTTTCTAGGCCTAAACTACATGGTTGACGCAGATTCCACCCGCGCACAAGCCTACGCTTTTCAGGCAATCCTGGGCGCCGGACTTGGCACGACTCTCGTCGCGACAATGATCACTGTTCTCGCGAGCGTGCGAAATGTCAACGACGAGGGCCTCGCAGCGGGAATGCTGGTAACAGCGCGGTTTGTGGGATCCCTTCTCGGCCTGGCGATCTGCTCGACGGTGTTCAATTCCATATTTGAGCGCGGAATGTCGCCACTGACCAGGACCGGGACCGAGTTGCCCGAGTCCATTTCCGTGCTGCGCGATGCAAGTCAGGCGGTGGGGTTCATTCCGCAGATGAAGAACATTCACGATGTGGATGCAGAGGTGATGTGGGTTGTGACAGATGCTTATGAGGATGCGTTCCATACTATCTGGGTGGTTTTGGCGGCGATGGCTGGATTGGCAGCGGTACTTTCATTGATTACGAGGCAGACTTCGTTGGAGAAGGAGGATGTTGGGAGGCAGGGGTGGAAGGTGCCGGAAGGCTCGTAGGACCTGGAAGTGGTCTTGGACTGATACGGTCTCGGTTTTGATTTTAACTGAGTGGGTAGGGTTCTACTCTGCATTGACATATATCTTAACTAGGGTAGACAGTTCGAAAAGAGCCCTGTATATAATCTCCAGTAAACAGAGAGACTACCTCTATATATCTGCAGCCGTATACGAGTATACTATAAGACACCGACACAACGCACAACTATCCATAACCTTAGCAACCCCCTGGTACCCTACCTACCTACCCACCTATCCCCGCAGTGCGATCCTCCTCCGCACGCGCCCAATGCAGCGTCAAACGCATCAACCTGACATCCTCGCTCGCCGCCCTAATCGACCACGCAGAAGATACAGAGGACACGGTGCACGCGGCCACCACGCGTGCAGTCAATGTCCTGGCCCCGGCGTACTCTTCGCCATCGGAGGCTTATACCGCTGGCAAGGTTGGCGCGCTGAAGATGGTCGAGGACTGGGCGAGACGGGAGAAACCGGTGTTTGATGTCGTGCATCTTGCGCCCGGGCATGTGTTTCGGGTGAATGAGCTTGTTGATGACCCGCGGGAGTTGCTGGGTGCTGGGTCGAATCGGATTATACTTAGGGCTGTTGTTGCGTCTGGAACTAAATTTGAATCCTCCCTTCAGATTCAGATGCACACAGCGCCAGCGCCAGCGCCAGAACCAGGGGTTACAGTGCACCAAGACGACGTGGCGGAGGCGCACGTGCGCACGCTGAACCCATCCATTCCGAGGAACAGACTGTACATTCTGAGCTCAGGCGGGGAAATGGGAACGCAGTTGAATGAGTTTTTTTGTGGTTGTGGCGCGGTGGTTCCCCGAGGATGTTGAGAGGCGAGTCTTGCGGGGGAAGGGGAGTCTGCCGTCGTCGGTAATTAGGGTTGATGCGCAGGAGTCGGCGAAGATGGGAATGGATTTTAGGGGGTTTGAGGAGCAGGTGAGGGATGTGGTTCCTTATTCCCTTTTGTGCTTGGAGCGGAGGGGTGAGAGAAGGCTCAGACAGGTTTTGACTGTGGGGTGGATGTAGTGCGCTTCTAGGTCTGGCCGATGGATGCCGGGTCTGCGGAGGCGATTGGGGCGGCGGCGTGGATGATGTGTGTTACGTCGTGTAGGGCGGAATTGAAGGCGGAGGGGAGGGTTAGATTGGCGATCTCGGTGAAAGTGAAGTGGGTTGTTGTGAGCGTGGGATTGGTTGTGGAGAGGGATCTTATGGGGGACGTGAGGGTGCGCAAGGCGACGCGGACTCGGTGGGCATGATGCAGGCAGAGGACTAGTATGCAAAAGCCGATTAGGCCTGTTGCGCCGGTTAGGAGGATGAGGGTATGCGACATGGGTTGGTTTAGGCTGGTTTTCTCTTTAACGTAAGGCTGACTGTTATCTCGTAAACAGCGACGATGATAGGTGTAACTGCCAGTGGAAGAGTTGCACTATACGGACGTATTTGTACTTGTAGTTGTGCTTGTACTTGCCTAGTTCCTTTACCACTGCTGCTTCTCTTGGCAACTTCAACTTGTGGTGGACCAGTCTACAGAGGTAGATCAACCCCCCTACCAAACCCGGGGCCCGGGTCCGTCTTAACCCAATGCGCAAGAAGCAGCTTAACAATATCCGACCGCCGTGCATAACAGCCCGTTGCAAAGGCGTGAAACCCTCGCCCTCCTCCTAATCAATCCGAACCCGTTCGTCCTGCAGCTGCGCTGAATGGCAGTACGGATATCCCTCCTGCATCGGACTTGGCTACCCCGTTCCCGTCTCCATCCATTTCCATCTCTGCTCCCATGGGGAGGTGGAGACTTGACGCTGGTGCTAGGGGCTCTGCACCCGTTCATTTCTTCTGTCTGTTTGTCCTGGTTCGCGTTCTGCTCTCTTTGAAACCATCCAATCTCCTATATGATCTATCCCCCCTTGCCAATTATATACTTATAATATCTTTGAATTATTAATTAAAGTATTGAAATGTTGAATAATAAATAAGCCTGATAAATAAACCTCCTTCTTATGAAAGACAATAAAGGATCTTATTATATTTTTATATTTTCTTATGTTAGGTTCTATATCTGTTTCTTGACAATAACTCATTCATTCAATCTTTATTAAAAATATGAAAATACAAATAAAAAGAAGAAATTTAAAAATAAAATAAAATTATAAGGAAAACGGATATATAATCTGGACAACTGGCTTTTTTCATATATTGGGTAGACATAGATTCAGTATAGTTATTGTAGTTATTATTAGCATGATTACCCTTAAGAGAATCTTTTGTTCAGGATATTCTAACTTTTCATTGCTTCTGGTAATATGAAATTTTACATAGTACATGACATCTCCGAATTAGACATTTTCTCAACAGAAGCAGATTAGGTAGATCAGCTTCATATAATAAAGCAAATTAAAGAATACCAGTACATGTACTGTATAGTTCACCCGATGCAACTGGCATCCGTTCAACTTGGTAGCCCCAGCAGAGGTCCAACTCAATCTACCAAGAGCACTGGATCTTCATACTGTACTCAATTGGGGCCGAAAATGTATAGCATGTATATATCGTCGTGTCTGTGATCTCGATGCACTGCACGGTGGATGACAGGTCAGGGCAAGTAAATGTGCCCGCAGCATCAGTGGTACCCTCATAAACACAGTCACTCATGCCGTGAATGTCCACAGCAATATCGAAGGTGCCATCTGGAAGGCCAGAGCCAGATGAGGGTGCCTCTCCGCCACTACCCACACCATCACAGGCAGTCCACGACCCACTATATGTTGGATCGAAGTATTCCCAGCTGTAAGGGTTGCCAAGCTCATTGTCATCCTCGGCAAGAGCGATGATAAATCTTTCCGATGGCGTGGCCGTTGCAGCGTCCGATGTTTGGGTCGTTGATGTCGGGGTCTTTGATGTGGTTGTCGTGTACAGGCCGGCCGTTAACGAGTATTGCTCAGCGGAATAGAGGGATGAAAATTCCTTAGACAGAAGGGTGGCGATTGACTCGAGGCTTGCCATGGGATTCGTTGTAGCACCCAATGCACCAATTGTCTCGGCAAAAGCGGTGTATGTACCGACCGCAATTCCGACTGTGATCGTACTTGTAGTCTCAGTGCTAGTGGCAGTTTCGCTCTTCGTCTCGGTCTTTGTTGTTGCACTTTCTGTCCCGGTGGTATTATCATTGTTGTTGTTGTCATCGTCATCGTCACCACCACTTTCACTACCGAGACTTGGAGGACAGATCAAGCATCCCCCATTGCAATTGATCACACCTAAGTAGTTTATTAGCTAAAGGAATCCAAATTCAACATTGTCTCGATGGGTAGTTCGGTATGCGGTCTGAGACTTACAGGGAAAACCGACATGCTCAGAGCCGGAAGTTGCCTTAGGACCCCAGCTTGAAGAGTCGGAACGTGATTCAACTGTGGTTGTTTTGGTGTTCAAAGTTGGATCTGGCGTGCTGTTGGTGGTTGTCGGATAGGCCAAAGGTGTCACAGTTGAAGTTTGCGGAGACTGAGTGGTTCCGCCGCTAACAGATGTGGTGCCTCCCCATACACCTGTATAATTACTCGTGCTGTAAGTCACGGTTCCAGAGGAATAGGTAAATCCGGGAATGACGCTTGTGGTGCCACCAATGACAGAAGTAGACCCGCCGACCGTTCTGTTCCCGTTAGCTTGACGTCGTCTTCTAAGAAAGGGTCACGGAAAGTGAGATCTTGGACGCACGGGGTATAAACGATGGGAAAAGGCGTTGGGGCCACCGAGCTAGTCTGTTGAACGGCCGTTTGACCCGCAGAAATATGTTGGTTCCACACATTGATATAATCCGTTGTCACTGTGGGTATCATTAGTTCAGTATGTCAAATATCTGGGTCTGAATTTTGGGGGAGTATGATAACGCACCAGGATCAATGTTGAACACCCATGGGACAAGAATATTGTCGAAATACGGCATCATAGTGATGTTTCCATCCCTGAGTGTGATTGTTGATGTTCCAGTGGTGCTCCAGGTAAGATGTCCGCTCGATGGGGGGAAAGTAATGGTCGTGTTCGAGCTCAAAGGAAGAGGGGGCATGATCATCAAACAGGGCGGTGCGCAGGTCACAGCCGGAGTCGGCAGTTGCCAGACTTCCGGATCAATCGTGATTGTTGCTGTGTCCGTTGAGTTTCCGGAGCTGCCCGAGCCATCAGACGAGGAGCTTTCATTATTATCCACGAAGGCTTCGAGGTCAATGGCCCACTCGGCGGTACCACCGAAATTGTAGCCCTCGTACCAGGATGTGCGCTTGGTCTTGGTCTCATTGGTCATGTAGCCAACCCATTGGGTGTCATTATAAACGATGAAATCCGTCACATTTCCATCCGAGTAAGCCTGAGAGTTGTCGTTGGTTTGCAGGATCAGGTTGATCTCTGCATTGGAAATGTATCCAGCAGTATTGGTGCACTCTCCAGCCTCTCCCGCACCAGTCCAGGTACAGCTAGAGTTATAGCAGCCTGCCTCAGACATCTCGAAAGAACGACCATAGCTAGCCACCCCCACCATGATTTGGCTAGTGCCAATTCCAGCCTTGGTCAACATGGCCAGGGCCCATTCAGTTTCGGTCATGTTAACATGTGAGAAAAGGCAATCACCGGCCGTACATCCGTTATCGGCCCAAGTACTCTTCTCATCCCAAGTTCCGTGCAAATCATATGTCATATAATTGATAAAGTCCACGACATCTGCCATCGCAGCAATGGGGAAGGCCTGGAGATACCAGTAAGAAGATGGTGCTGTAATTGATAAGATCTTGCCATCAGGAAGAGCTTCTCTGAGTGCTTTGAGGAAAGCAAGATAGTTCTCTCCTTCGTCGTCGCTTCCGGCAGGAATACCTGCGATATCTGGCTCGCCTGGATACTCCCAATCAATGTCGATACCATCCAGGCCCGTTTCCGAAACATAGTTGACCAGATTTTCCACCAATGTAGATCGGTAGGTTGCAGCAGTTCCCTGGCGGAAGATCATATAGGTATCTGGGCTCGTCGAGAAATCCCAACCGCCAAAGGACATAACACGCTTGACATTTTTCAGCTCCATGAATTCTGAAAACTCTTGTTCATATCCATTCACATTGATGGAAAAGTCGGAAGAAATGTTTCCAAAGGCATAATAAACATGAGTCAATACTGACGTGTCAATTGAGAGCGGGCTCATCTGCAGGCAGGATCGATCCATACTGCTGGGCTCGTAGTAGCCCACCTTGGAGAAGCTTGAAGGAGGAACTGCCCAATTTGTGATCGTGGTTCCGCAATTCGAAAGGCATCCATTGGATCCATTCGCAGCGGTCCCAGGATTCTTGTTCTCGGCAAAGGTGCGATTACAGTAAACTGGTGTGATACCGCACTGGCCAAAGGCGTCACAACAGGCATTTAATGGACATGGGTTGTAGCTCTCCCAGTCGGTCGATTTGGTGCTATTAAAAATAGTTCCCGCAACCTGAGGTCCGCACTCTGCGTTGGCAATCGGCAGGGGATAAGGAGGGTTGCCTGTAGACAAACAGATGTTCTGGCCGGCCTGCAGGTTTCCGCATCCGTACCAGGCCCATGTTTCATTGTTGTATGACTCGATTTTGGCTTCCGTGAGACTGTATGTGCTTGCAAGGCTAGAACAACTGTCCCCGGACTGTACACTGTATGTGTAGCAGGTGCCATTCGAATACGCGGATGGTGAGAAATCTGGCAATGAGCCCGATGAACAGCAGACATATTGGCCGGGAATGAGTCCTGTACAAAGATCCGATGCAGTATTGTAGTCGTAAAACTCTGTGGAGGTAATACCGCAGTCTGAGATCAATTGATCACAAGTATCCCCGGACACCACTTGTCTGTATGTGCATGTAGCATCTTTGCGTTGGTGAAAGTGAGTTACACGATGCCCGTGAGAGCCACGTGAGACTCGGAAATGTGTTGAATGTGTTCCGTTTCCCTCGCTGTGACGGCCCTGGAAGGCTAGTGAGGCGCTGCCGGTTATATTCTTATCAAAGCCGGACCCACATTTTCCGGCATGCCAGCTTTGAACATATTTTTGTATAGTTGGAATGTCACCATTAAGGTCAAGTGCCACACCGATTGTTTCGTTGGCGTTGGATCCGCAGTATTGAATAGCAGCAATGCTGTAGCTGGCGTCGGTAAGAAAATTGCTCAATGTTTCAATGGCAAATTCGACATTTGACACCTGCTGGACACTACCACCCAGATAAACTCCAGCGGCCACCTGATCGGTATATCCAAAGATCTCCTGTTTCTGTGTGTATCCAGTCAAATAGGATCGCAAAGCATCCAGAAGTTTAGGATAATTGCTTTCTCCAGATGCAGAAGGACTGGGGCCCCTAGCAGCGATCTGATATGTAACGTCTCTATTGGTTAGATCCGTGGATGTGAGTTTGACAGTCGACGAGTTTTGCAGTTTGTCGAGACCACCAGAACAGCAGACATGGAGGGAGTTATGCACATTGGTGTCTTTCAGGTCATTGAAAATATTGAAATCAAGTAACATAGTCTCATTGCACTGAGTAATTTGTGGAACATCACGGAAGGTGAACCAGTCGATTGGGTCATAACTAGTGCAGCTATCTGGACAAACTGCTGGTCGCCCGACCCGGTTTGCCAGAGCGTGACTTGCAAAGCCACCGAGGGCCAGAAAAGAGGCCGCAGCCCCCGGGAAGGAGTACATCGACTCTCAGGTTGATAATGATCTCAGGGTATAAGACAATTGTTCGAATCCAGTTCAGAAAGAAAACCCAAAGGAGCGACAGACAAACGAAAGGAACTAAGAAGGAAAGGAAAAATGAGTGTAATGGCCGGTTGGCATAGACTCAAAGTCAGGCAAGATATGAACTGAACACGGAGAGCATGCAGGTCTGTTGGCTGGCTCTTATAAATGACCTAATGACCAAGGAGGACAGAAATGAGGTAGAAAAAAACCTGCTTATCAACAACACTCCATTACTGACCTTCCTATACGAACCATTCTCCACCGGCATCCAACTATGTAAATTAACCAAACTGCGAATTTGCTTTCCATCGTTGCCAGACACGATTGCGAGAGCGCTATTGTTTCAAGAAATCATACTTATCCATCTCGCTACTGCGTAGTCTGCCGAAGTTGGAAATTCTCTCTACACTAATGCATCCTGCGCCAGGTCTCCAAAGTGGGGGCCAAAAGGAACAGCCCACATCATCGGCTAATGTGTAATATAGTAATTCGGACCGGGACACCCGGCACTAGAGTGTCGCGTAGGTATATAGTGTTAGACCTGAGAGGGAATCGACGAGCAATTCTAAATAGGGAAGGGGTATGATGAAGGGAAATGTGCTTGGTACAGTGTCTGCACGGATAGGCACGGGTCATGTTAATTTCAGAGAGAACTTGTAAGGATCGAATGTCTAGCTAGATACCAATGTGTGCTAGATAGTATGCCAAAGTATCAGGGTCCAGAAGGCTATTGGAGTCGCGGCTCAATCTGGCCGTAATGCCTAATTTTCATTAGCAGACGGGTATCCTTCACTTTCGGGCCTGTTGGAGCCCTACTCCGGTTGACCCCGCTAGTTGTGTTAGTACGGTGGAAAGGTGCAGGTACACTTTTTTCTACGCCTCTTCTTGAGCATCTTTACACATCTCTACATTATTCTCCGTAAACACCAAAAGCTTGGGGTATCGAAACAATCTACAGTATGTGTACTTTATAGTCATATTAATAAATACCCCAAGTTTAGGTGCTGGCGTATTATAGTAATCCTACTATCAACGCTTCTTCTGGTGGAAAGTAGGGCAAATAAACGCATCAAGACCCAAACGAGCTGTGGCCTCTATTGCTACTCGTACCAGAGTTCATCTGCCGAAGGGAAATACCATCTTCGCACCGTACAATGTAAGGTACCCGAGGAATACCCACGAATGGGGGCTATGGCTCGTTACTGGAATGGTTGTTTTCTCCAAAAGATCCAATCGGCGGATAGTGTGCTTCAGGGAAGTGGTCAGTGGTCCGAGGCTCTAACCAAGTTGGGGGTGTCCGAGCTTAGCCCCCGATAGTCCCTGGAGTCTTGATCCTTCGTGGTCCCACCTGCATTCAACCATGAGTCTTTAGTATGTGAAAACAATAGTATAATATTCTCCTACTATATGCAATTAATGACCAGAATGTCCACCCACAATCTTCAACTAAGCGAAATTGAAGGGGCATTGGAGGAAATGAGTAGTATAAACGGAAAAGTCAAGGAAGAATACAAAGGATACAGAGCGAATCACTAGCACCGATCACTCATTCTTGCATAAAAAGGCTTTGTGGTCACTTGAAACTTTTATAATAACAGCAGACACTGTTATTTCCACTTGCAATCTTGTGTCTTCACATTTTCTTTTTACGCTACCATGTTGGGCCCAAGCACGATACTTTCTTGGTTTGCCTTGAGCTTGGTGGTCAGCAATGTTGTAGCGCTCGATGTCACCGAATTGTTCAACCTCCCTGCCAGTGGCAATTCGTACGGAGACTGTTCTTCGTACAAGTCGAGGTTAACCAACTATGTCGGCGATTTCTCAACACTGGCTACACAAATGCATAATGCAGTCCAATGGGCGCAGCAAACGGGACAAACACAGCAGACAATCGTTGCGCGGGAGCTCTTCACATCCTGGTTTGGTATTAGATTTGACGGTAATGGAGCGCTCCATCCGGACAGTCAGACGGCGTGGAATGTTGTCACGGGTAGGTCCTGCTTGTTACTCGAAGGAAGAATTTACTTACCATGCGCTTACTTGGGACAGATCACATTCAGCGCCTCCAAGACCTTATCACCAATGATGGCGTGTACCAGGCTTGGACATCTCCAGCGAATCTATTCTGTGGTGATTTTGGAGAACCCTTTTCATGGAACACTTATATGCTTGATAGCGCAGGCGAGTATGTAACACCCTTCACCTCAGTTGCAGAAGTGTATGGAGACTGGGCGAGCTACATTGGAGGTGAACAAGTACCATACTGGGTTCCATCGCTGAACGAGTACTATCTCATATCCCCCACAACTTTTACGGCGGGTGCGATGTGTTCTGATACTAGTGGGTTGGAAGGGCTCAACTCCTTCGGCAATTCTGCCTCCCTAAAGAGTTTAAATCGTAATGGGTTGAATTATCCCGTTTTTCGAAAACCACTTTCGGACTTTGTTTTGATTTGCCCAAACATGCTGAAGGACAACACACCCAGTGATACCTCGGCTGGTAACACCCTGCTAAGTGATATTGGCGTTCTTACTGTGACGGCGGACTTGATCGACAGGGCACAACTAAGTTTCATCAAGCCCAGGTCCACCGTGATGCTTCATGAAATCTTGCATATGGTGACCAGGTGGGATCAGAGCGGAAACACTGTGGTAAGCGGACAAAACATGATTGTGGATCATAGCTGTGAGTACCATTCCATGATTCCCTTGTTCGTCTGCCTTCGGCCTTGTACATGATAGATGGTGCTAATTATCCACTCATACGCAGATCTTATGATGGACTGTCTCGCCTTGGCACTCGATCCCTATGCGCTTGGTACATCCGTGGCAAAGTTTGCTTATCAGAATACTGAAAATTACGTTCATTTTGCTTTGGCTTGGTGGTACTATAACTCGAAAACTGTGGGAACCGCGACCCCGGCCACCTTTTATGCTGGATTTCTTCAAAAGTGGGACCATACCTAAACGGGGCGCTGTACAACGTTCTGGACATGATTCAGATATAACTTCAACTGCGAACAAGAACAGACTTTCCAATCAACTATCAAATAGTTGAGGAACTGTGGTACGTCCTAAGTGTCATTCTTGCTGTGGTGCCGGCGTATAATTAAATCGCAATTTGCGAATAATTTTATAATTATTAGCGACACTGTTGGGTATGAAAACGAACTAGCACTTTTATTTGACATCGCTTGCAAGAGCAATTTTATTTCTCTCGCTCGTTCGATGTGGTTGGACCCTTCTTAGTGGGGGGCTAGCCTGGGCTAAACCTTTAGTGTATGTAGCGCGCCCGTCTGCTTCCGACGCGCCCGAAGTCCCGATCAAACCTAAGGGTTGCTGAGGGTGCCCGAATTCCTTACGGACTGGAGTGATTTCCGGTACTTAAGGATCTCCCTGAATATTCAATCTTAGCCGGATAACCTTTCTACAAGCCCCTTTCCACACCAAACCTCGCAGTTCACGTAATTATTGATCCCAGGTTACAAAACCCGCGGTTCTTCGTGCGTCCGCAATAAATTGGTGCAAGATGTCTATCTTAAGCCTGCCTCTGGAAATCTTGACTGGCATTTGTGAGCATCTAGAACCTCAAGAGTGGGGTGCGCTCCGGATTACATGCCACCAAATATATGCCAATACACTGGAAGCCTATGCGACGCGCTACTTCAAAAGTCTCTCACTTCTTCTCACTCGTGATAGCCTTGACCATCTGGAGGAGGTTGCAGCCAGTGAAGCTCTTCGGGATTGGGTTGAAGAAATTTGGATCATCCCCAATTTGTTTGAGGGTTGGCCACAAAGGGATAAGGAGAATTTCAAAAGTTTGGGTTTGTCAATGAGGAAACAGAGAAAAATCCTTAGAATGATGCGTGGTGAAAAGGAGGATCCAACATCCACCAATGCTGAGGCTGAGCTTGACGCTCTATTTGCTGCTTACGAAGGTACATTAGCAGAGCACCGTGCTATCCTTGACTCGGAACTTCATGGGGTACTGGAGAAATGCCTCCCACGCCTCAAAAACGTCACCACAATCGCATTACGCTCTTACCCCCTTGAATTCCTCCTGTTGAAAGCAAATTATCGTTCATTTCGCTGCCTTGGCTTACGGGAATTGAAGAAGTTTAACAGCGATGATGTACTTGGTCATTTAACATTCGCAAGTTTTCGCAAGGATATGTTGTCCACGCCTTTTGGTTTGGCAATCTCACAGGTGATTCAAGCCATAATCAAATCCAATCGAAAGATCCGATCCCTCCATACGTGCGGAAATTACGCTTGCGGGATGAATTTGGGGTCCTTGGAATTGCCAGAGTCAAGGTATAGATTACTATTGCCACTATTGAGTGATCTGACGGCTCTGCATATGTGTATCCGCATTAAGGATCACGAACAAGATAAATTCGAAGAAGAGACCTTCAAACGTCTTCTCAGTATTCTGGTCACAGTTGCACCTAAATTGAAGATACTGGCATTTGCTCAATGGAACCCCTGGGAAGAATTATCCCCCCTGTACTTTGAGGATCTCTCTGGGAAGATCCGGTTTTCCCAGCTAGAGGAAATCCATCTCCACTCGATTGAGGTGACCGTGGATACGCTCAGGCAATTTCTTCAGACAGCAGCGCCGACGTTGAAACGGCTGAGTATGAATATGATCAGCTTGACGGATGCGATAATCGCAGCACGAGATCCAGGCCCAATCACTGAAGAGAGAAGTAGTTGGGCCTCTTCATTTTCCATTGAAGTGATAAATGAGATAAAGACGCTCTGGATGCGGAGCTTTCAGTTTTTGGCAGATGACCTCGAGTTGCAATTTGTCCAGTTGTCTAAACTCGGTTACCGTGGGAGAGAGATAAAGTTGCAGGATGACTTATATATGGAACGTGGGCAGCCGGATGCACAACCGGATTCATGTGCACAGCCTTCTATCGATCCGCACGATATTTATTCTGATCCAACGGGTGGCCAACTCATAGCTTTCTATTTTGATGCCGAGAAGGCGAGTATACCGCTCAAACAATGGATCATGCAGCTTCAAATGGAGATGTGCAATCCTTTGAGCCGTGCACCTTGCCGACTCCCAGGGACCAGCGGTATGAGCTTCAACCGAGAGGGGATGAGGTCCCTTATTATGTACCCACCTGGACCTGTGCCAGTGGAGGACCCTGGAAGACGGTCGGCGATTTTAGAGTTCTAGATTTGTTAGATAAGCAAGGATATGTTAAAGCATTAATGATGATTACAATAGATTCATCCTTTTGACATATGCAGGTGTAAATATACAATGTATACTTTATAATCTTTATAAATTTTATTGTTTCATATCTTAGGATTCTTTAAAGTTGTAGGACAATACTGTGTAGTATCAGGCTTATTATAAGCACTACTAGATTTAAGTACTAAAAGACAGTTTTCTGGGTTCGTACATTATATATATCTTAACTATATAGTTACAATTTCTTTAAACTGATTAATATGTTTATCAATTTCTAGGATTGAATATGTATAGCACTCCACTGGCTTTTCAATAACCTTTATATAATACTTTCTATTGATACTCTCACTTTCATTTAAAAATATTAAATACTGTATAACAGATATTTATCAGGTGATAAAAAGACTCTCAAAATCTTGACTACATATCATAGCTCTAAGGATGAAGCGAGAGTACAAGTAGAAGTTGGGGAGGTATATATAATAGCTTCCTAAACATAGTGTTTTATTCTCTATATAAAACCATTCTTAATCTGGCTGTTAACCTGGCAGCAGGTATGAGAATTTCAGTTAACCTGATCTGGCCTGACCTCGCTCTTGGCTACTCTAGCCTCTCTACGTGCGACCCCCGGCCCCTATGATAGTCAATCAATTATGCACTTCCCTGAATCGAAACTAATTTCTTCGTTATATATTGATAATCTAAGACGGTGTAAACGATGGCTTCCACACAAGGTGGAGAAAACAAAATATCATCACACAGCCATCCCAACTAGCTCCGTCAGCTTCGACACTCTGGCTCCGTAGAGCTTGGTCATAAATTGCAAATGATCAGCCTGCTTTGAATGAAGAGCAGTCGTGCAATCCCCCAGAACCGTAACCCTCAACCCCTTCTGGAACGCGGTTCTCGCAGTTGAATCAATACAAACATCTGAGAACAAGCCCGCGAGAACAAGATGCTCAAAGCCCTGTTCTTCCAAATATGCCGTGAACTCCGGAACCAAGAACGGATCCAGCAATGCCTTCTTATCAAAGACGCGCTCGCCAGGCTGAACCGTCACCCCAGGGCCAACCTCCGCACCCCAGGTCCCCTCGACGCATATATGGGGCTTCTGGAGAATAGTATCCCGGTGCTGCCAGCTGGGGCTTTGGTAGGTGGTGTTTCCGAGGAATCGGACGAAAATGACGGGGCGGTTATTTGCGCGGGCGAAGTCGATCGCGCGAGGGACGTTGTTGACGACGCCTGCCATAGCAGGACTGGGGTTTCCGGAGATGAAGTCGTTTTGGAAGTCGATGACTACCAGAGCGGATTTCAGACCAAGGAAGGCTCGGAGGTCACCGGAGGCGGTGGCGGTAGATGCGACAGATTGTGTGGGATTTGCGATCACTTGGAGGAAGTAATCAACTGTTTCCTCTGTCTTCAATGAACCGCCTTGGTCGGGGGTAGTGAGCTTGCGCTGGAGGAGGTTTTGAATAGCCTGCTCTGTAAGCTTCTGGATACCTTTGCCCCCAGCGTGTCGCTCTAGGATGGCGGCTGCGGCACGAATGGTGGCAAATGGGTTGACGAGGCCCTTATCAGCGATGGCATCGGCGGACCCATGGACAGTTTGGTACTCGCTGAGGTTGTTCACGTCTGGGCGCAGGTAGACGTTCTCAGCGTACATGGTCTCGGGAGTCGATTGACCGAACCAGTTGAGGAAGACGGGCTGGATGACATCCGCGTATTCGTTTCCTGCAATGATGATGCAACGGCCCTGGACCCCATTTGCCATTAAGCTGCGATTGAGCGTATCAGGCTGAACAAAATTGAAGTCAATGCCAAACTGGGCCTTCCATAGGGGTTCCCAGGCTTGGAACACGCCGTCAAAGAGGTGGAACTTGTACGCCATGGTCACCTTCTTGGGGACGTTCTCGGGGCCCCAGTTCTCGGCCGCCCTGTCGAGTGCAAAGCGGATGATGCGGTCGAAGACGGGCTTGCTAAAGCTAGTGGTTCGGGTGATGCTCAGGTGGTCGGCGCTGTATGCGTTGTCGCCAGCGTAGAAGCCCTGCGCTTCATCGCGGACCATGAGAAGGGCGTTGCCCTCGCCGAGGCTAAAGTGCTCCACCTTGGCCGCTTGGAGGTGTTGCCGAACCAGGTAGAGCGATTGGGCGTGGATGGCGGTGCGGAAGATTGCCGTGATGCCAGCGGCAGCAGCATTCTCACAGAAATGCTGGTAGTCAATTGCATCCTTGGTAGTTTCATCTGCAATGTGCGTAATCAAGTTTTTGTCTTCGCCGGAGACAGTGAGGGTGTGATAGGAGTGGTAGGTAGAAGAAGAGCGAACAAATTCAAAATTGACCGAGTATTGTTTGGCGAGTGTCTGAATGACCCGTTCAAAGACGGCGATCAATTCACGGCCAGTGCCATGGCCAACGGCAAGGCCAAGTCGAACAGTTTGGATAGTCATGTTGAGGAAGCAAGAGAATGGTTGTTGATGATAGACGCACATTGAACCCTTGCCATGCGAGTATTTATAGACAAAAAACCCGTGTATCTTGAGAGAATATGTCCTCAGCTACGCCACAGATCTTCAGATGGGTGGATCGATGCCAACACATACCTATCTGCCGGAGACATGAGCTGAAGCAGTTGAGTTTGCTACGTATTCGAGTGGATTCTCAGTGACCCGTAAACGAAAGGTATAAATCGGATGATCCCATGCACTCTCAGGTCCACCGCATGATCCCAGTTTGCACTCTACCTGACCAGTTACACTCCGCTGACAATGGAACCTGAAACTATCAACTCCGGCTTCAACATGGGCAACGAGCTCGACTACATGCTGGATCGAAGCTACACAGCAGCCTCGCGCCTCAATTTTCAATTCTATTTATGGAAAGAATCACTCCAATTCAACCTCCACCCCTCCATCGACCTCGGCCCTGCCGGTGAGACCGTCAGAATCGCCGATCTAGCCACGGGCACCGCAATCTGGCTCTGCGACCTTATGCGGGACCCAGCCATGACGCCATACACTCTGCAGCTGGACGGTCTGGACGTGGACCTGAAAAATGCCCCTGTACTTGAATGGGTGGCGCCTTCCATCAGTCTTCGCCAATGGAACATCTTTGACGAAGTCCCTGACGACCTGCGCGGAAAGTACGACGTCGTCCACCTACGCCTTCTCGTCCTGGTCGTGCAGGAGAGCAACCCTCTCCCCATCATCGATAAAGTTTTCCAGCTCCTGAAACCAGGTGGATACATCCAGTGGGACGACCTGAACTATCCCGACACGATTGTGGCCAAGCCCCCCACTGCGCACCAAAGCAATCAGGCCAGCCCAGCGTGCGATGCATTCGTGCAATTTGCCCAGTCCAACGGCCGTAATGATTGGGTGCTGGATCTGCCACAATCGTTGATGGAGGGGCATGGTGGATTCGTTAATGCCGATCTGTTTCATTTTATCGATCGGCCGGAACTCTGCAAGGCGAATGGAGACCAGTATATACTCGTGCTAGAGGAATTTGCAGCTCGGCTGAAGTCTGCGGGAAAGGTGAATGAGACGTCTCGTATCTATGACATGATTATTGGGCTCGCTGAAGAATCGCGACGGGGGTTCCACTTGTCTATGCCGAGGGTGGTCTGTGTGGCTCAGAAGAGATCGTCACTCTAGGATAGCGTCTGCTCTATAACGAATCCTCCTACTCTGCTAGCTAGATCAATGAAACAAGAAAAACAATACTGGAACAGCTTTTGTGTCTTTCCCATTGTGCTTATGACACGTGATATGTGCTTCTTGGTATAGATAGCTGGCTTTAACCTCTCTGCAAGAGGAGCAATCACATCCCCATCTTCGATTTAGCTTATAACACCATTTGCATCCATAGCGCTCTAACCAACCCGCAAATAAACCCAAACAGTATGGCCGAAATCGACACATCAGTCTGGTACAAAGCAGATATAGGCCCTCGCCTCAGCCAGCCCATGCGGGATATTTTCTCTCAATGGAGCGGTATAAGCGAGGGTCAGCTTGATGCCCATCTTCACGCTGTGGTATGTCTGCCTAGGTATTCCCATGATGGTCAGCACTACACTGCACCTATTAACAATCACAGCGCGACAAAGCGTGGCAATACGGCAAATACCCCTGCGTAGGCCAGTGGATGTTCCTGCTGCCCGGCATTGCCAAGTTCCCCCAATTCCCTGCTGTCATCGATCGCGCCCTCCAACCAAGCACAACCATCATCGATCTCGGCACGGGGCTAGGTCAGAATCTGCGTTTGTTCGCCGCGAATGGCGTCTCTCCCTCTCAGATGTGGGCCCTTGATCTGAGTCCCGAGTTGTGGCAGTTAGGTTATGAACTGTTCAACGATGACGATCGAATGAAGGGTGTCTCGTTTATCCCCGCCCAGTTCCTCACCGATGAACCGGAGCAGCTGAAAAAGCTCCGCGGAAAGATAGACATCATGATCGCGGGGCAATTTCTCCATCTTTTTTCCTGGCAGGGGCAGATTGACGCTGGAAAGCGGATTGTTGAGCTGTCCCGGCCAGGTACCATCCTTATCGGATATCAGCAGTCGCGTCGTGCCGCGAGAGAATACATCCGGCCCTGGGGGATGATGTTTTACCATAATTTAGAGAGTTTTCAGAAACTCTGGGCGCTTGTGTCGGCAGAGTCAGGGACACAGTGGAAGGTTGAAGCCACCTTGGTGGATTTGGTAGATTGGGGTATGGAGACCGAAGATACCCAGTGGATGCCGCCAGACCACCAGGGGTTGAATTTCTATCTCACTCGGGTGCGATGATGTGTGATGTTCCGATGAGGAGCGGAGATCATTTCCCTGCAGAACCTGGTTTTTCACGAGTCTCTCCACCCAGCTGAAATATCTTGGTTGCTGAAGACGGCCCGCTGAACTGCTGGAGAACAGAATCCAGAACGATCCACATAGTTCATTAATTGAGCCAATAAGTCTATGACAGCTGTCAATGAGTGAAGATGATCGATAGTGGGCTTTAATGGGTCTGTCGCTTGCGGAGTGACGCATCGGAAGTTTATTCTCCACAGCTATCGCTGATAGGTCTTCTATACGCTCGCTTGGGCGGGATGAAGAATAGTCTAACCGTGAAGAATTGTATCCACAACATCCACAGTTACAGCTGTGCAGGTGGCGATAATAGTTATATCTTACAAAGATATCTGCTCTTTTAGAATTTGTTTTTCTTGAATATTATCTACTTTTTTCAGTACGACATCACACGGTAGGAGTAGGTATATCAATAAAGGTCCTCCTTGCTCGTCCCGAAAGAGGAAACCTCCACATTGCGGTTATCTATAATAGAAGAAGCAATCCGAGCATGATTCTGAGCATAAGGCATAAATTAAGATAAGGGCCATTAGATTCTAGTTTGAGCTAAATATCCACGCATTATGCTAAGTTGTATTTTATTGATTATTCCAAGCCTGGGCAACACGTAATCGATCAAGCGCCATACTCTATTCGCCCTGCCCTCGACCTTCTTCCCCTGCGCTGTGTGAAAGATATAGTAACGGATAGCGGGTCCTCGCCAAACAACCGTAGGCATGAATATAGCCGATTATCCTGTAGGTCAATAATGGAAGTTTATACTCATTTATCGTCCTTTTTTCTACCTCAAGTTTGTCGACAAATTTGAATTCCGACACTTTTTGCCTTATCATGTCCGGTGCCAAAGGAGGGAATAGAAGGGAATAGAAGGGAGAGAGAAGAAAGCTGGCTGATTTATATTACTGAGTAATTGTTTTTTTTCACTATTTTTAGTTAGAGAACTCTGTAAGTTTGGAAACTATTTCTGGCGCCAATGGGCTCCATTAATTACCCAAAACAAGACCCCAAGATATGAATCTCCACTAAACACGATATTTGTAGCACTGAACTATGTAAAAGTTCTTCTTCCAGATATATGTATGATGGTCAGTATCCTCAATCTAATTTACAACCCCATAATGTCTATGTTGATTCGGAAATGATTACACGGTTCATTGATCGGTCCCTTCAGTTGTCCACTTTGCGTACTTTATAGTCACACAAACAGAGCTGCTCCATGACTTAATTAATTACCATTTCATCATCGGACGTTTCAGGTATTCACCTGAGAGAAAGTGGGATGTAGGATGAAGAATATTTGAAGCAGGAATTATTGTTGTCAAATATCCAGTAGTGTTGGTTTGGGTCGGGGCGGGTTATTGAGTTCGGTATTTTCAAGGATTCTCGCACCGCCCCTTTAGGATAACACTATATAGTATTCAGGCTAATTGTAAATTTCATAGTAGATTATGATTATCTAAATGAATGAATGAACAGGTTTCTAGTCTGGTATTTTATATTCTATTCCTTTATTCGTAAACTCACCTATGTTCAACTATTCTACTTTCATTTTGAAATTGTCACTTTTAGCTATTTATAGATTAGTTGAAAAATATCTTATATGTAAATTATTGAATTTAACAATAAATGGCATTCATATATCTTCCCTTTGGCATGTATATCTAGCCATCCGAATACCCTGATAGCTGAGAGCAACTGGGCAAGAACATATTACACAAACGTCAGCCAGCTCCACACACCAATCACATGACCACAGTATCTCAGCAGAACATGAGATGGCAGAAGAGTGCGAAGGTGCTGTGATAGCTGTTTTTATAATGTGTGGGGCTGGAGATAAATATATATATCCGGAAATTCGCTTTTAGATAGATCAGCCGGCTGTCCACGAGAGGAATATCCCTTGTCGGAACTGTCTACACTGGTTCTACTTGAGGGTCAAAGTTTTATATCTCAACACAATTCGCCCTTGAAAGAGACCCTAGGCAAGTCTGAAGAAGAAATACAAATGCCGTAGAGAAAGTGAATCTCCGATACTCAATCGAGCCAAGTCCAATCCAGCATATCCACCATGCCCTCTACAAATTGCCTAGAAGAGGTGGACTGGATATAGAGATTTCTCACAAGTAACCATTATGCGCCCATTAGAGCTTACGCCGCGGTTGTATTCCAAACAAAAAAGCTTATTTGTGCTCAATCACCGAAAAATCAGTTCTCTCCTATAACTCATCTATCATTATATATCACTCGAAAAATGCAGCGGGTAGTTCAGGGCCCCAAATCGCCAACAAAGCTGGCCCCGCAGGGATCATATATCCAATTACGTCTCTGCATTTACTAAGTCGCCATCGGCGTAGTGTTCGATCATATTGCCCGAGAAATTCCCACCAGTAATTGAAGATCTGAGACCGCAGGACATAATGTCCCACTCCCGAGGCCGGCCTATATCTCTTCTTGACCAGCAACTGATGACCTGGCTGCTGTGTGTCGTAGTCATGGACCTCGATTGAGCAATGGTGCACGTGCGATGTCGTCGTGCTGGGGCCGAGGAAGAACGCGTGGTCTACGGGGGCTCCGTTCCCAGATAGAGATGCATGAACACCGTGACAGGGATTCGCTAACCATTTTGGTCAGTGTAGAGAAACTCGGTTGTTGGATGTTGAATGTTGAGGTATAGAATTGTGATCGGGACTCGAAAACCTGGGTTGAAAGGCCAAAATAACCCGGCTGAAGTGCAAAGTTAGCTACCTATTCCCTGTAAATCTCGAGATCACGGATTTTGATTTTCTGAACTGCAGCTGGCCTGAGTTCGAAAAAGGATTAATGGGATTCTGATTATAGACCAGGAAGGGAATTCTTCGGGGTCGGTGGTCACTACCAAGGAGCCAGCGCCTGGGGCATCCGTTAGCTCTTGCATGGGACCGGCCTTGGGCAAGGCCCCTGCTCTGGGGCCTAGTGCGTGACGGGGGTCTATAGGTCATTGTTAAGCGTCTGGTTCCTTACCGTTTGGAGCCTTCTAGACTAGCTGCTTCGAAGGCCCTTTCCAGAAACTTACCGTCGCCCTTCTGCGCATAATACACGTAGTGATTGGGGTCATATCCGCGGTGGCAGCTTTGTTCGTCGGTCTGGTGCGCAGCTTGAAGTTCAAAGTCCAGCATGAACTGATGGATCTCATCTAGGCTTGGGTATTGGTAGCTGATATGTGGCAGCTTCTTGAGATTGATACGGGTATCTGCGTTGATGCTCTGCTTGTGTGACTCCAGGCCTTTTCCCATCATGTCGGTGTCGGGCAGCGCGCCTCCGAGATTTGCTGAAATTGTAGGAGGGGATATGTTCAGCTGTCCGCCGTTGTAAACACTTGAGTGCGGTAAAGGCCTGTTGTGATACCGGTTAAGGTGTTTATAAGCGTCCGCTATCCTCTATCCTGGTGCCGTCATTCAGCGATTATCCTCACAACGCCACCCGCTTGCCGCCGGTATCAAAACGCGTGACAAGTCCGTCAGGAATCGTGTGGGCTACGGATGTACATTCTACTTGTAAACGTGCGTGCTGGATATATTCTCCTTTCATCAGATTTCATCTACTTCTAATGGTCACTTTCGAACAGCTAGTTCGATTCTCCGTCGGTGATCACATGCATTACGGTGAGCTGATCAACACCGACGGCAACAGTACGAAGTGCAGCAGCTTGATGGTACTCCCTTCGACAAGTTGCTTTCAACAGATAGAATCTATACTGTGCCTGACATATGTTGAGCTGGCTTTGAAAATACGCCCACTCAAATCTCTCAATCAACAAACATCAGCTTTCATCGCCCACCCCAAGTACTCCCATGATTATCTGCACGCGAAGGAGGTCAGTGTAAGCCCTTTATTTTCCAACGCACACGGACCCATTCCACTAATTAAACGACCCCTATAGTTGAATGTCCCGACCTACCCTCCAGTCTTCACCGAACCCACGTACGCCCTCGCTGGTCCTTTAAAACATTCACATTCACCGTGATGCGCAATCTCACCTCGACTACGAGGTCGAATAAACCGTCATCATAGGCAAGGATACAAAGAATGTCTCAACAGGGAACGCTCTGGATTTTGTTATCAAATACACCCCGCGGGATGATCTCTCGGAGCGCAACTTTCAGCTCGCCGAGGCGTCTGGCAATTTTGCTACGCCAAGTCGTTCGACCAGCTCGCTCCCATCGGACATGTTCTCATCAGCTCCCAGGAGGTGCAAGGCCCGCAGCAGATGAGCCTGGTCACCAAAATGAATGGCCAGGTGAAGCAGACTACCAATAGCATTGATATGATTTGGGGGGTGCGCGAGATCACTGATCGTCTGTTGCGCGGAATTATCCTGAGAAAGGGCATCGTGTTTATGACTGACACCCCGTCGGGAGTAGGCTTTTTCAGGAAGGAGCTCTTGCAGCATGGAGATGTGGCGAGGGTGAAGAATACAGCGAAGTATCTGTAGCCGGGACCAGTGGGTACTACCAAGTTGATGTATGTGTTTTTAGGGTGGAACAGGCCCACAGTCCTTATAGAACGTCCGGGGAGATATACGACAGTTACATACCTTTCGTTAGCATCATATAGGTTTACATGCAATTGACAAAATATTGCCCTATAGCAGATAAAAATCATTCGGTTAAGAGGAATCCCACCGTGGTTGCATCCTACGTGCAGGCGTTCGTTCTTCTCCCAATAGTGGCCCTTACCTGCTGTGAGTGTATGTGGGAAGCCGAGACGACGGGACGCCAGCTGTGGGACTCCTCCAATTCTTGAGTTGCATACGGGTGAAGGTAAGATTTCAGTAATGAGGACGACGTCCGAAGTTCACATTTACTCCTCTTTACGCGGGGCCTTAATTGTAGCTATTCCGATTTACTACCCCGCCGAACTTGTGTCGATCTTCACTCGGAGGTAATTTTCCTCATTCGATTTCGACCATGGCGGTCCCTCATCCCCCGCCCCCGCTTATTGGGCACCGAGCTTTGTTCATTTGACGTCTATAATGTTGTTCGAGGTTTCCCCACCCCCTCTTTACTGATCATATGGTAGACAGCCGAGGTCCGTGGTGGGAATGGTGATTTCTCTAGTTAGGATACCCCAGTAGAGAGGACGGACCAGTCGACACTACTTATTAGCAACGCCCTGTTCATATAACTATGTCCTATCGAAACACTCTATTTATAATTGTATTTTTGACGCTTTTCCCCAAAGCTGCGAAAATCTCGATCGATAGGTGAATCAGTCGGGTCAGGCAATATCCTAGCATAGTTACTAGCACCGTTCCCACAAGTTCACCATGACAAAGACCACCGTGGATATGCCACACCAGGTGGAGGCTCCTGTCCTGGTAGTTGGCGCTGGACCCATCGGAATGATAACGGCCTTTCAGCTCGCAAAACGGGGCATTCGAACGGTTCTTGTGGAGCGCAACCTGGAAACTACGAAATGGCCCAAGATGGATATCACCAATCCACGATCAATGGAGCTGCTCCAACGTCTAGGGCTTGCAGATGGGCTACGAGAGAAAGGTTTTTGACCTCTCGCTTTGCTTACAGATGGAGCAGTTAGCTAATATTTTCGCTTTTTCAAGGCGTACCATCGCAGTTTTCGTTTGACTGCATTTTTAGCACTGGACTATCACCTGGGGGACAAGCTCTGGCGAAATGGGTATGAAAGCATTTTATTCGTCTTCAGGCTGAATATCATATGTAGCGTTCTCACATTCTTATTGAATTTAGGATCTACCGTCTCCGGATCAGCAGGCAGAGAAGATACGGAATAACTGCGACGGGACGATGCCGCGCTACCCGTATCAGAGATGTTCACAATCCATCTTCGAAGCCTGGCTAAAGTCTCTTATCCAAGAGGAGCCGCTAATCGTTTCCTACTTCGGGATGAAATTCGAAGCGATGACTGAGTCGACGGAAAAGGTTTTATCGACTGTGACCAACATAGTTACGGGAGCGAAACACGCTATCGAGAGCCAATACGTCGTTGGCTGTGATGGCGCCAGTAGTCGCGTGCGAACCTCCACCGGAATCAAGCTTTCCACGTCTCCGATGTAAGAATTCGCTAGTCGTGATCCGATCAGCGTCCGCCCAATTTAACATACCGTTGTGCTAACGTGCATATCTGTTGTCGGCAGCTCCGGACCGACACTTCTAGTTCACCTAAAGTCCAGAGACCTTGAAGTTATTCACCGCCAAGGTCAATTTTGGCACCTTTTCCTGTCGAAAGGGAGTGTTGTGATCAGTCAAGACGAGAAAGATACCTGGACGATTCACACTCCCATTCCGCCTGACACGGACATTGCCGATATTGACCTTGAGCAAGCCGTTTATGCTGCGCTTGGGGACTCAGGTCCTCCACAGCCAATCAAAATTGACAAATTACTGGTTAGTAGCATATGGAGGGCGAACTTAGGTGTCGCAGAGCATTTCCGCTCACCAAATAAACGCGTGTTTCTAGCGGGGGACTCAGGTACGACTGTGTATAACCTATGGCACTGCACTGGGGTCTAGGGGCTTCCTCACTGCTGACACGTTGACAGCTCATCAGAACATACCATTCGGTGGATATGGCATGAACACTGGACTTGGAGATGCCTATGACATCGGATGGAAGCTGGCCATGTTTTTGAATGGCCAGGGCGGCGAACGGCTCCTCGAATCATATGAGGCTGAGCGGCGACCAGTCGCCGTTCGTAATGTTGCGATGTCAGGTCGACATGCTCAAATTCACATGGATTATGCTGGATGGGTTCGACAGACAAGCGAGGGGGAGGTTCGCAGTGACAGTCCTGAAGGACAGGCACTGCGTGAACGCATCCAATGCCATGTCTATGCCAACGACGGGGAGAATAAGAGTCTGGGAATTGAGATGGGGTACAGACTCAGCTCATCGATCATTCTCTTGGAAGACGACCTAAGAAATGAGCCGAGGTGTAGTGAGCGGGATTATGTTGCGACTACATGGCCTGGCTCTCGAGCGCCGAATGTCATACTGAATGACGGAGTGTCCATTCATGACCGCCTTGGACCCGATTTTACTCTGGTCGACTTTACGACCGATGGGGCCTACGCAAAGAAATTCAACAGGGCAACCCCCCAGGCCATAAAGAGGCTGACTGTTATACAGTTGCCCCAAGAGACCATGGCTCGGAAGTTGTGGGAGAGATCTGCTGTTTTGGTACGCCCTGATATGCATGTGGCTTGGCGGAGTGGTGAGACAGATGGACCTTGGAGCAAAGAAGACACCGAGAGAGTTCTGAAGAGGTGCTTAGGTTATTGAGAGAGCCATTGGCCCCTATGCAGAGTCAATATGAGTAAATTTCACGCCGAGGAAGCGAAATTGTTCGGGATGAATCTGATCTGGGGTGGTTGGTGGGGTCTATGCTCTCTATTCAATGGCGACAGTTTATATGGGGACAATAGTATAGAACACCGAGATGGGGCCTACACTTATTACTATATCTCTCGTGGACCAGTGGTGATCTGAGGTTCTTTTTTCGATGACAAAATATGTAACTCCAGTGCGACTCAGATACCGAGAGAGCGTTGCGCCCGTCGCAACACACCCACAAAGGAGGACATCCGCTTTTCCGTATGGCGCTGACGACATGTTCATTCGTAGTCGTTGAATTGTCCCTTTCCGAGTAGATTTCAATTTGTTTGGTGTAGTTGCTTATGGAGATAATGCGGTAGTTGAGGAGATACATAACTATTTGATCAGTAGCAGCTCGTCGGTCCTTCAGGTGGCTATTTCCGCGGTGGTAATCTCTCGTGCCACTGATAGATCCCACATCCCGTTGAAAGTATTCATTGGGCTATAAGTCACCACGACGAACTCTCTCGTCCCACCCACTTCCCTCCCCGGGTTGAGTATGGAGACTAACCCCACAGCAGGGGTGAGGCGGATGTACTCGGCTTTGCCGAATGTGGGACCTACTCGCATCACTGCAGGCTTGGCATACACTGCCAACATTCCACGGATTTACGGGTGTCCGAGCAAATACTATACTCCACTGACGTGTGGACTTTCGTGAGAAACGCGGCATGCCGTGAGACAACAGTCAGTTAGGCAACCCGAACTTGTTGAAATTGTTCTCTAGCTTTCTTTGAAGATGTTATAGATGCCCGGACGATGTCCAGCCAATGAGGGTAGATCAAAGCGGGTCAGAATAGAAGGTGCCCCGAGCAAGTCGCTTCCACCTGTATTTCTTACAAAAAAAAGGCTGTAGTATCAGGAAAGTGGCTAGTGGGGGTAAATAGCCAGAATTATCATTCTGAAAAACGATTGAACAAGACAGTAAGGAGTATACCGCACTTTCACCCAGGATAGAAACACTTTCGACTCTGTTTAGACTCAGCCAGTCCCTCTGGCAGACCAAATAACAAAGACGGGTGAAGTAATCATCTCCTGGTATTTGTTAATCCAAGACACCATCGGACTAATACGTCATTTGCTATAGATTCTCAAATCCTTGCCGCGCCTGTCCTTCCTTCTGTGATAAAAACTACTTAAAGATAGTATGGCCTTAATGTAATATGTTATCTTTACAAAAAGAAAAGACCGACCCCTTGCCTGTGATATAATGAAATGAAAGAAAATCATAAATAGGAGGAGGGATAATAGCTCTACATTACATCAGTCAATGAACTATAGAGATAAAGCTTAGATGATGGTAACCTTTACAGGTATCATATAAAAAAAATAGGTAGCATATATTAATATTCAGCTGAATCATTTGAGTCGGAGTTTTTGATTTCTTCACTGTCATTTGCCCAGCACCCAGCTATCATATGTATATAGATCCGTGCATAAAATATTACTACCAGACAAATCACGATCTTACTACGTACTGTGTTTATCAATCCCAAAACCAACCGCAACTATCTAGGTACCTACTCAGATACTATTCTGAATAATTCTTTACTTTCTAGCTATATTTCTATAATTGCAGAGTTCGGTTAATAATATACCCCTTTGAAAATAATAAACTTACCCATCCATGACAAACTGACTATACTAAGATATATACTCATCCTGCTATTACTACTATATATATCGATTATAGAAATTAGATGCTAGACTACTATACACCAATATACCACTGATCTCATAGTATTAGTTTCATTCTATCATAGATAAGATGGATCTCTGAACTTCTGGGACTCTTCTAAGGATGAATCCATCAGTAATTACATTGATATATAATACATCTTATGATTTCGTGAACCAAATTAGTTAGATTTTACCTGGAAATGTAATACCATATATCTCCAGTTATTTTGTCAATTTGAATTAATCCAAGCTTTTCCGGGTCCGGTACCCTAATAGCATCACTAATAATCAACAATAAAATGCTATGTCTTTCAAGGTAACGAAGTATGGTGGACAAAAGCGGAATCTTCCGAGAAAGAACTAGGGCCGCCAGTCAGCTCCGAATGTACAGGCAGAATTCTTTCTGATCTTAGCCGGCAACGGTGTTAGCCATTTTACGCCACGGGATCTTAGATTCCGCGGGAGGACAAGAACGGACACCGCTGAGTGGCGGTTTATTCAATCCCCGCACACAAACACTGGGGTAAGAAGACTCACAGTTAAGCGAATACTTGCACTGGGACTCCAATACCGAAGTCCATGTCTTCCAGCCCTAAATGGCATGGCCAAAGCATATTGCGGGGTCCCCGGATTTCTGGAAGAATTCTGACATGATATAAAATGCATTGACATCCTTGGCTCAGTTTGATCAGCAACATACTTTACAGGCAGCTGATACTGACACAATTCACTATGCTTCGTGGAAAGTCGCTCCACCTCGCACAGGTCCTTCTCACGGTAGCTCCTGCATTTATTACATACGGGTACAACCAAGCCGGAGTAGCACCCCTTGCCAATCTGCAGTCATGGTAACTTACCCCTTGAAGAGGTTATTGAAAGATTTGGTTTGGCTGATCAATTATGTAGGGTCACCACATTTCCAGAGATCGACACGCTCAACACCCATGGTGCCATTAAGGAAAGAAACTCAACAAGGAAAGGTGCAGTCATTGCCTCTTATCAACTGGGAGGCCTTCTTGGGGCGCTTGCGTGTGCGCATATTGGTGACCGCTTCGGCCGGCGAAAAACTGTCTTTATGGCTACTATTCTTACGATCATTGGGGAGCTGCTTCAGGCATCTTCTTATAGCATCATTCAGTTCACCCTGGGTCGAGTCATTCTAGGCATCGGGGTCGGGCAACTGAGCGCCACTGTACCGGTATGGCAGGCTGAATGCAGTTCTGCAAAGCATCGTGGTCAGCATGTGGTAGTCGATGGGATCTGTATGGTCCTGGGCTTCGTGATTACGAACTGGGTTTCCTACGGGTTCGGGAAGACGGCAGGTGAAACCCAGTGGCGTGTCCCATTAGCCTTGGCTCTTGCCTTTCCCCTGATTATTCTCGGGTCGTTGTTTATGATTCCAGAATCACCACGATGGCTAGTTATGGTATCCAAGAGGGACCAAGCAGCTCACAGTTTAGCGGCATACAGGGGTCTCCCCGTCAATGATGACGTGGTCCAAAGGGAAATTGCGAGCATTGAGTCATCGCTAGAGCTCACAGCGCAATTTAAGAGCTTCACACTACGAGAGCTATTCATGGGCGATGATAAAGAACGTCTATTATACCGATTCGCCCTTTGTCTTGTCATCCAATTCTTCCAGCAAATGTGCGGAGGAAATTTGATCTCCACCTACATTTCCACCATCTTCGAGGAGAACTTGAACCTTGATAAAGATTTGTCCAGCATACTAGGCGCCAGCGCACTCACATGGAAATTCGTATGCAACTTCATTCCGTTCTTCGCAATCGACCGCTTTGGCAGGCGCAAGGTGTTCATGCTTAGTGGGGCTGGAATGTGCATTTGCATGATAGTATTAACTATTACGACCAAGTTCTCTGACGCCAGTCGGGGCCTCTCAATTGTCTCTGTGGTCTTTATCTGGCTTTTCAACATGTTCTATCCCATTGGATTCTCTGGCGCAAACTTTCTCTATTGTACTGAAGTTGCTCCTATGCGCCTGCGTGTGGCCATGTCGTCCGCATCAACCGCAAACAAGTGGCTGTGGAATTTTATTGTCGTGATGGTTACACCTGTGGCTCTTGATACAATCGGGTGGAGATACTATATTGTATATGCTGTTATCTCTGCCTGTATCCCAGTCACTGTGTATCTCTTCTACCCAGAGACCATGGGCCGCAATCTCGAAGCCTTAAACGAGGTGTTCCACGATGCTCCGTCCGCATGGCATATTGTGGCGATGGCGAGGAGGCTCCCACAAGGAGACGTGACAGACGTGAATGCGCAGATCGAGGACGAGAAGTGTACTGTGGAACAGAAGGAGCATGCTTGAATTTTTTGCTATCATTGGTCTCTGTTTCTGCTTTTTCTTGTTTCCATTCCATTTTCTTTCTTTCTTCAGCCACAACAATGCATGTTTGTTGTGTAAATAAAGATCACACTGCATTGACTATCCGTGTAGACTCCTATCATAGTTTTTGCAGAAGAATGGAATACCAGATACAGCACAAGGCACTAAGTCTAACAATATTTCAAGTGTGACTGTACAAATCACATAATCCGACGCTAATGTGAAACCTATGTAACCGGCCATGGCTAATAATAATAAATAGGAAAGCAGAGAGATACACAATGAAGGAACGCTATCTCGTACAACCGAATTACCAGAGCCCTCAGAACCCTTCCGGGTACCACAATCTAGAATGGTTATTATCCGACTTGGAATTGCGAGTTCTTGGGAACCAGCATCTTTGCGTCATGTACTTGAGCATATCCTGCCAACCAAACAGGCAGTGATGTAGGGCCATGGCGTCGCGAGGTACCAGTCACCGAGCGGGAACGAATTTGTTCGATGCTCGGACTTATTGCCTTCTATTGCCCACATGTCCAGATGGGGCTGCGGTGGCGTGATCCGTTCCGCGGAAGCCCCATGAACATACAGTCTTTCAGCTAGGCAGTGGAGTGGATAGATCGTGATCATGGGTGACGGACGGAACATGATATGCCGCGGAATAGTACCCATGGGAATTACATTAGGAAGCAGCTACCTTCTATCCAATCTAGGATTCCTGAAGCCAGTTATATTTCACGTAAGGTAGAATATATAAACGAGGTATACAGTATAACAACAAATCTTTTGCATTTGAGAAAGCAAAATACCACGTTCTAATTCAGCAGTTTGGTACAAAGCATTTTGAAATTTCATGAGAAAGACCGTCCATTTCGACCCTAGTCAATCATGACACAGACATATTCCGTCACCCGGAGTGAACCCATCCCTGTCTTACCAAAAATAACATACAGGTCGAAAGAATCGGTTCGGAAATCGATTCCAGCAGTATGGATGCGTGCCGGCACATCCAAAGGCCTTTTTCTCCATCGCCACCATCTTCCCGCGTCGACAACGCTCTGGGAACCGATTTTGCTATCCGCGATGGGCTCCAGTACAGGTCGTTCTCGCCAAATTGACGGGGTAGGCGGTGCCTCCTCGACAACGTCCAAGGTCGCCATTGTAGAACGGTCGAGTCGTCCCGGTGTCGATGTCGAGTATACGTTTGTGCAGGTGGCGCCGGATCAGCCACGGATTGATATGACTGGAAATTGTGGCAATATTGCATCTGGAGTGGGGCCGTTTGCACTAGATGAGGGTCTTGTCAGCGTGCCTGAGCGGGAGAAGGAGGTTTGTTTCCCTTGTGGTTTTCAGTGGGACTGTATGAGGAAGGCAGAGACTGACTGAGTAACAGGTTAATATTAAGATTTACAACACCAATACCGGACAACATATCGTCGAAACAGTCCAGGTCGCGACCGACGGCTCGTTCCGAGAGGATGGCGAATATGCGATTCCAGGAGTTGGAGGCACGGCCAGTCCTATCAAAGTTGCATTCCTCAAGCCGTGCGGTAGTATGACGGGCCACATGTTTCCGAGCGGGAGGCACCAGGAGATGCTAACGGTGCAGTCCCGGGGATTTGGAACACTATCCGTGCGAGTCAGCCTTGTTGATGCCGCGAATCCGTTTGTGTTTGTTGATGCTGCGTCCCTGCCGCGAGAAGCCTCGTGCGCTATCACGGATGCTGCGGATCCAGCCTTCCTGGCATTGATCGAAGATATCCGGCAACATGGTGCGGTGCGGTTTGGCCTTGCTGAGAATGTGCAGGCTGCGAGCCAAGTCCGCGGAACCCCGAAGATTGCTATTTTGTCTCCCGCCAGTGGTAATGTAGATGACGTGGACATCGAGGTGAAGGCGTTCAGCATGGGAAAACCCCATCCGAGTTTGCAGCTGACAGGTGCGGTATGTCTCGGCGCGGCGACAATCATACATGGCACCATTGCCTGGGACTTGGCCCATGTCAAGGAAGGGAAGGAGATTCCAAAGCATGGGATGTCGCTAGGAGGCCACCCGATTGCAGGCGCGATGCCGGTCGGCATCCGCCATTCAGCCGGGGTCATCCATGCGGAGACGGTCCTGGGGATAGACAAGAAGGGCGCGATCGACGTGAACCGCGTAGCGGTATATCGAACGGCTCGACGCCTTTTTGAGGGCCGTGTGTTTTATAGGTCTTAAGACGAAGCGATCACGGGCTTTGCTAGAAGTAGATTATGCTATCACTGACCCAATATAAAGTGCTAGAAGTTTCGATCGCCTGGACCCACACTCATTCATTAGTAGTTGGGCACGGTGTAAAGATATTTTAGTTGTCCGTGAATGCATTATCCTGCGGAGAACCGTTGAACCCAAACAGCATATCGTCAAATCTGGGATAAGAGTACGCGTCTTCGTACGGCCCTACAACGGGAGCTATAGGAGCCGGAATGTTCGAATGAGATACCGTTGGGCCAAAAGAGAGATCCATAGCTTCGCGCATCAGTCCGTCTGAGGGCCTGGGTTGTGTTCCGATAAAACTTTGAATGACCATTTCAATGTCCAGCTCAGACGGTTCAATCTCTGGTGGAGAATCGTGGCTGATTGCAGGCGCCGGCCCCAAGGGTCTGTTGGTTGGGATTGTTAAATGGTCTGATCGGCCGTCCATACGATTCGGACTGTCGTCGACTACAGTCGTGCAATCATCTAAGCGAACACCCATGCGGTCCATGAGGTGTAAAATCACGTTGTGGGCTCGCCGCACTGCCCAGTTTGTCTCCTGGTTCTTCTTGAATATGTCGAGGCAGCTCTGGAGGCTTGTATGGGCCCGACTGACACGCTCTCGTTGGGCTGCGACACGGACGAAGATTGTTGCTGCTACGTATGTAGCGTATGAAATCAAATACGGTGCTCGTCGGATGGAAAAGGTGTTATCGTAGGCCTGTAGCAATTGAATGATGCTGGAAGCGGCAGTGGTGCAGGTGGTAAAGGAGCTCTTGGCCACTGATGGATCGGCAGTGTAAAGATGGCCCTCGGAAACAAACGGTCGGTGAAGCAGGATGACCAAGACATTGTACAGAGCGAGTAACGAGAGAACGTGTGGTGGCGGCACTATTCCCACAAGACTGTTGTAGCGCAGGTGTTCTGGAAGGCTTTCGTACCAAGTTTTTAACTGCCCATCGAGTTTGTTAAGGGTAGCGATGAGATCGTGGGGCGACCGATTGGAACTTCTCTCTGAATAAACCTTATTCAGAATCTCATTCAAAACTAGCGACAATTTACACAGCCACGTGAATGTCGACACGCTATATGCCGGGGATCCAGGGTATGACTGCACATCAGAATACGCGAAGGGTTGCCAGGGCTCCAGCTCCTCATAACGGTCCAAGAAGGACAAAAGGACTTTGGTATCAAAACTCTGGAGACTCGCGGGTCGCCCCTGGTATAGGGACTGGATCTTGTCCACCACAAAGGCACCCCAGAATACACGTCGTCGGATTTCGAGGTCTTCTGGCGAAAGACGGCGCATGTTGGGGAGCATCGTGGCATCCACATGCATGCCGAGGTCAATGATCATTCGGAATGCCGTACCAGAATAGAGCCATGCGGCGCTACGTTCATCCCCCAGCGCGAAGAGAGAGCTCGTCATGACTAGCAGTGCCTGGATGGTGGTGATCTCACTCCGATCCAAGGCACTCCCGAGCAGCTCCTTCACCCTCATGCGAAAGGTCCACCCAGCCGTGCGAGCATCATCCGGGTCTCTACGCACCTCGGGACGATTACTGAACTTGGATGCGCCAAAGTAAATCGCATTCAAGAGCAGCTTGGAAAAGTAAGGCCCGTTGGTGGCCATATCACGCATAAAGCTCGGGCGATGCGTTATCAGGAAGGAGTGGTGCTGGCGATTCCAATGCAGGGACAGCAGGTGCATCCCCAGCTCGGGATCTACGCCATCAAAGTCCAACTTTCCTTGCTGGAAGTTCAACGTTTCCAGCTGCCCTTTGACATGAGAATATTAGGGTCCGCGAGTAAATATCTGTAATGGGAAAGGGTGTCGCTACTCACTTTGATAAGCGGCCTCTCCCATCAGTTGTTGCTGAATGGGCTCCACAGGACCGGGGCGATTGGCCAGTTGGGCCGAGCCATGACGGCTGACGGGGGCACCGTCAAAGAGGGTACTGGTGAGGCCATGGTAGCTGGAGTCTCCGTTGGCGGAGATAAAGATGCCGGATACAACAGACTGCGGATGATCCATCTTGGTGGACTCCGACTGTTGGTGGAGATCTGCATCAGGGGCCTGTTCTCCATGCGCCGGCGCGGCACTTCCGTCGCCAAGTCGCTGCCGAAGTTGCTCATTTTCAGTCACCAAGTGAGCGATCCAGGCTTTGGATGGCCTAAGTGGGTCAGGTAATCAGCATCTTCTGCAGACGGTTTCAATTCCGCGCACCTGGGCCTTGCAGGGCTAGTCATGTACACGCATTCCTTGCCGTAACCTTGACAATTGGAGCACGTTGGCTTTTCGTCGCAGCGCAACTATAGCAGCCGTGAGCGGTAAGTAGGGCACGGTCGGAGGGGACGGGGGTGAAGCAGTGGATCTCAGCTCACCTTCCTTCGGCGACAGAAGCTGCATGCCTTGGCTGCTCTGCGGGATCGGGACGGAACTATTCTTTCCATGGCTTGACAGGGTCTCCGTGGAGAGCACAAGACATGGACAGGGGAAAAGAAGATGGAAGATGGCAGATGAAAGATATACGTACCCGGGTTTGCACGGAAGGACAGGTTCCGCGGCAATTCATCCTCCGTCGGCAAATCCCGCTCCTATTGTGGAGATTTGGTATCACAGTTAACTAAGTACCTCAATATGCTATAAGTTGGTGCAAGCGATTGTACTACTCAGCAGCTAACCATTATCGCTCTATTCCTGGTACTTGGTATTATCATGGCTGCCCCTGCCTCAACAAAGCCGCAAAAGGTCGGCTCATCTCCCTCCAGCGACCGGGAAGGACATTAACCAATTTAACTTGTTCGCAGCAATACACTCCACAGTGGGTCTCTCTGGTCGCCGGCGGAGTGGCTGGGGGGGTGGAAGCTGCATGCACAGTAAGTAACTACTTCTTCCTTTGGCATTGCAGCATGTTTGGATGCGGGACTGAGAAGATGATGATGAATATCTAGTACCCGTTCGAATATGCAAAGACCCGCGTGCAACTCTTGAGGACCAACAAATCGACCCCCTCCAACCCATTACAGCTCATATATACCGTTGCCCAACGGGAAGGCATTGGTGCTTTATATACCGGATGTTCTACGCTGATCATTGTGCGTTCTGATCCAATCCGTTCGCTAAGGATCAAAGTCTAATCGCCCGCAGGGAACGACGGCCAAGGCCGCTGTGCGATTTGTTTCATACGACACCATTAAGAACTCCCTCTCCGATGAGCATGGATCGCTCTCCCCAGCACGGGGCATTCTGGCCGGCGTTGTCGCAGGGGCCACAGAAAGTGTCCTGGCCGTAACGCCTACGGAAAGAATCAAGACAGCACTGTTTGTGTCCTGCTTTCCACACAATTCCCAAAAGCCTTTTTTACTGATTGACGAAGGATCGACGATGCCAAAAACGCCAGGCAGTTCCGATCGAGTCTTCACGCCACGCAAGTCTTAGTTCGAACCCACGGTTTGCGCGAACTCTACCGGGGTCTTGTGTCCACCACGCTAAAACAGTCGGCAACATCGGCCGTGAGAATGGGTACGTACAATATCCTCAAAGAAATAGTCAAGGCACATGACATTCCGCCGACTGTTCTCACCACCTTTTGCATGGGAGCCCTGGCGGGAGTCGTCACGGTGTACGCGACGCAGCCTTTTGACACGATCAAGACGCGGGCGCAAGGGGTCCAAGGGGTAGGACTTTTCGAAGCCGTCCGGAACATACAGAGTGACTATGGAATTCGGGGTTTCTGGAAGGGCAGTTCAATGCGACTGGGCAGGTTGCTCTTGAGTGGCGGAATTGTCTTTTCGGTGTATGAGAAAATGGCATTTCTCCTGCATCCGAGTGTTCGGGTCGAATGAATGTTCAGCTTTCTCGATTCAGTCAGATATCTTTAACTGCATGTGGGTCATGTGGAGGTCAGATAGAAAACTTCTTTCTTTAATTCATCGTCTTGCTTTTCAAAAAGGAAAGAAAGAATGAAAGAACGAACGGCAGACAGACAGACAACAAAAGAAAAAGAAAAGGAAGCGGGGGAGAAAAGGGGAAAAGGAAGGAAAGAAGCAACCCGAAATCGTGGAAAGCTTCAATGGGTGTACTGTAAGTAGTTCCTAGAATTCTCACTTGTAAACAATGTTATTGAGTTACTACCTTATCCGGCCAACCGGATCATAGGAATATAACTATGAAAAGTTTTACTTCTCTCATGGTTACATTTCTTCTCTATTAACCATTAGCCTTCTGATATATATATTACCGCCCAATATACATTATATATCGATGGTCAGTTTACCTTGTCACAAGACGTTACGAAAGTATAATGCCTTCCAAGCATGACCAGTCCAATCCGTCCATTTATGAATAGGTGATCTCAAAAGTCCCATCCTTCCTATGTTCTACATTGGCGAGCACCGCGCCATCGGTATTCAAAAATCGAAGCATGCCCGCATGCTGGATCGCGTTGGTAAAATCCACTATCTCACCTTCTTCGGCGTCATATGCACAAACCCAAAGTTGGATTACGGGCGCCATGACGGCAAATTGAATTGCAATGGCATCAGTGGGAGCCGGATACTACAACTAGATTAGCTGCTTTTTACCATAGGACAAGGGAATGGAGGAACATACATAAGCAAAAGGCCTCGTGCCAACATTTCCATCGGGCAACCTGTTGCCCTTGGCCATTCCATACACAATGTATTTCCCATCCGATGGAGAAAGGTCACCACCGAAATCAAACCGGACCATGTCCATTGGTGCTGTTTTCTCTTTCACCGTCATGACTGGGTCGCCTGTTTCGTTTTTCGTGAGGCCAAAAGTACCTGTAATACCCTCATTTAGTCTCTAGTCACACTGCTTATTTCTTCCAGCCTTTGACAACTCCTATAAAGCGATGATAATGGGGTATACATACTTGCAGGCGTCGTGGGAGTCGCGGGATCAGCGTCTTTCACATCTATCGATGTTACCTTCACGCCAAACCCGGGTTTCTCAGCGGTAGTCCCAACCCCTTTGCTAGTATTAATTTGGTGTATTTAACGGGAAGTGTAAGGGTGGGTAAGTATGTCACGCACATCCGTATAGTTGATACGTGGTTGATGTATCCCACGTCTGTTCGGTGTCGAGTTCCTTTGCGTGCCAGACAAGACATCCCCCTTCGTGCTTATTGTTGCTTCCGAGGGTCATCATGGGTGGAGCGGGAATAATGACATATTTCTGTTTGCGGCCGGAGTGGTTCACGACGTGGATGGTATGGTCGGGCATGTTTCTAGGCAAGTGACTGAGGTGATGTAGAAGGCAGGACTACTTTGGCAGTGAGGGTCAAAATGTAGTAGTCGTTGGTGCTACTTATACCGCATTGATGTGGCATCTTTATCATACTTCTAAGGGCAAGGTGTGGTAGTCATGATTCATTGATCGCCGTGAACGGTAGTTGCATTAGTACGGTAGTATTGGGTTTTCCCAAAGGCGGAGCTCCTAGAATCATCACTATATTTACAATTTCTCTTGTTTCTTTCTAGTTGATTCGATGTTTCCGGCTCTGAAGGTGGCTCTGCCAGTTATGAGGACGACCAAGTGATGAGGTAGCAATAGCCTTTCTACACATTCACGTTGTCTATGTTTCAAGTGTTCGTCATCCGTGGAGATTCGGGGGCTAACACCGAAGTAGTATCATCCTCTGTGTTGCTCTGTTGACTCCAAGGTGTTAGGCTAGGTTTAACAACTTGTATAATCTAAAATGAGACGTAATTTGAACCGAGCTGTTTTATTCTGGGGCATCGTCAACATCACCAGGGCCGTCTGTAGTCTACCTACTTCTATATATTGGTGCGTTATTCCTGCCCTTTGAAGCCAAGGTCCCAATATCCGAGCTGGGCTAATGAGAATAATAGCCTTTCCCTAGTCGGCTATTGTGAAGACACTTGGGCATTGTTTAGATACCCGAGATTGTGGGTCATCACGGCTGTCCAAGGTTGCCGACATTTCCAAACCCACCACTTGGTGACTGCGCAAGCCTAGTTTCTGCTGGGAGGTAAAGGAACAGCAAAAGTCCAAAATAACAATTTTGTCCGCCGTACAAGCAGTTGAGTACTAACAATATTGCAGAACCGCACATACTTCACACACCCACAGTGATAGAGAACCGCGGATTTAAAGCCAGAGAACTTATATCCATCTCCTATAACACCCGAATACCAGTGAATCATAGTAAGAAAGAAAAAAAAAAAAGAAAAAAATTTTTATATTCCATGCTTGATCTGACTAGCAACTTGACTGAAGCGTACACTTTATCTATTCCCTTACTTAAAAGCGCTATTGCAAACGGGGAGCGGTATACTACCTATTATATGTGAACACTGGAAGGTCCCGGGCTTAATCTCCGGGCTGACTCAGGATGAGGGGTTCAAAAATGCTGCAATGCGGTAGTCATGTGACCTCGGCTAACTAGTAGTAATGTAGTAGTAATGGGCTAGTTAGTAATTACATTCCTTCCAACCTCTCAAATTATATACTATGGGAGGAGATGCCTCAGTTGAACCTTATTGGGCCATTATGAAGGAGGGGGCGGGCAATGTGACCGTGGATTACAGGGATTGAATGACACAATCCCACGACACAGTGTCCACTGGTCAAACGACCTTCTCATCCATTATTTTGTAATTTGAAATATAGGAAATAATGAGCCGAGTGTAACGCATGACTAGAAAGCGTCCAAGAACAACTGAGATTGGGTCATTGTTGAGCTGATCGGCAACAACAGCAACGAGCTGAACAGCACTGGTAACATTCTTCTTCAGCTATACCCACATTCTATTCCATCTTTGTTTAGCATATCTCGGTAAATCGCACAAATCCTGTTCCATCATGATCTCCATAGGAAATATCAATCCGTATTGTTCTTTTAATACTCCAATTACTACGGATGTCATCAGCATTTCTAGCCGAGTAACACATCATGGTTTTGGTAGCACTTATCACAGGAGGAAGTAAGCCTCATTCCCATATGCCCACAATAATGGCCGACCGAGAATAACCATTCATAGCCAGTGGCATCGGCCTCGACGTCGCCCAACAACTCGATGTGACAGGCCTCTGGAAAGTTCACATCATTGGTAGCAACTTGGAACGCGGTAAAGCGGCCGCTGCGTCGCTTAAGAATACCACATTTCATCAGACTGATGTGACAGAGTACGAGCAGCAGGGCAATACGTTTCAGAAGATCTTTAATGAGGAGAAGAGATTAGACTTTGTCTTTGCGAATGCCGGCGTCGCCGAAGACACGGTATTCTTCTCCAAGCATGAAACAGGAATCCCGCCACGGCCTGATATTGCTGGACTAACGGATATTAACTTGACCGGCGCCATCTATACAAGTTATCTCGCCATGCACTATTTCCGCCGATCGCCGGAGGTGACAATGGGGAATAGAAATTTGATTATCATGTCGAGCATCGGTGGATTATACCCATGCATGCATACGCCGGTATATTCAGCGACAAAACGTAAGTACATTATGCTGCCATAGTGGTCCGAAGCTTATAACCCCAGATGCTTTGGTCGGGTTTACGCGCTCAGTGGGGAAACAACTGTGGAACGAAGGCGTGAAAGTGAACGCGATTTGCCCTGGAGTAGTCATCACGCCTATGATAACACCAGAGCTGAAGGCTTACTTCTCGGAGAAAGTCCTGATTACTCCGAGCGATGTGACCAACGTGATCCTAAAGCTGATCTCGCAAGACGACGTAACAGATTCAAAGGGGACGTTTGTCTCGCGCGACCAGCTTCATTCGCAAGCAATCCTAGTGTCTGGGGAGAAGTACTACTGTGTCGAGATGCCGGAATATTTTGATGAGGAGACGCAACTAACTCATCAGCATATGATGGGTTGAAGAGGCCGGAGGTTACTCTTCGTTTATATAGTAATGCCCCGGGGGTCTTGCTTCACGAAGATTGAAGTATTAGTGACCCTGGAAAGCCGAGTTGAGATCGTCTGCACCTCACCATTAACCTCGGGTCATGCTTTGACGATATTTATTTTGATAAGAATTGAATCCACTAAGCAAGCGTTGATCGATCCTGAACAAGTTTCACTGTGCCCACCAATTCTTCGTGTTTCCACATCGCGTAATCAGTCTTCAGTCGGAACGTAATTTGCATAATGGGCGATAGTGGACAATTATGTCGTTATATAGGCAGAAGGATTAGCTCCGACTCGATCATTGCTCTTCCTTTATTCCCCGCCTCTTAAGCTGGGATGTAAGTCGCTATTCATCCAAACCACTCATCTCAATCCGCGTTTGCATTCATGATCCCTCACTTTGGGTGACATAGGACCTTTTACATAAAGCATACAACGTAAGAGGGGATGTGAGGGTTACTATTACTCTTCGACACTGAAAAATAATATTATCTATACACAGGTATCGTTCCCAGTGAGATCAATTTGGAAGAAAACAAACTCGTTCTATGTGGATGATTATGACTCTGTACAGGTAAAGCTTTATTACAGTGTTCGTGAAGGTGGAGGAAGCCCAGTCCCTATTGAAACTGGCAGGGAATGCAGCAAGGAAGGATCCAATGTCTAGTGTGCCTGATTGGAGCATAGCCCTAGGACTGCCTGGCTCTATGAGTGACCACAATAAGCCTGACATCCTGTTTCTGAGCCAAGGGATCCTGGTGGCTACATGGCAATGTAGAGCTTCACCAGGGAGAGCTCACCCGGGATTAGTTTGAACAAATCGAGCACCAGGATGAAGTAAGACTTCCAAGGCATCCAGAAATAGCTCCAATATTGCAGTTCCTATTTTTATTGCATTACACGATGCCTTTGATTGACAGACCACTCATCGTCTTAGATATGAATTCGGGTAGACAATATTTTGCTACATAGAGTATATTCTTCGTAATAATCCTTTGCAATATCGAGTCTTTGAGAACATTACAAGGTCACCTGATGTACTATTTTCCACGACACTCTTGTAAGTCTAGGCTCACTATGTAGCCACATTGCTACTGCGTATGGTAGCTTCCAGCGGGTAGACTGAGTTCTCAACAGTTACGCCGTCATAGACCCGGTCAAATCGCTCTTTCAACTCAGAGGGCTTCTTCCACTCATATTCTGGGTCACGCAGCCAAAGTCGCAGGAGGTGCCGCCTGTCGAGAAAGGATAATCAGCTCTTCTTCTCTTCCAAGTATCTCGACGCCAGGATACTTACTGTTTCTCGTTGGAGTCGGTGAAGGCACCCCTAGCGTGTAAGATGCTCAAGTTATTGGCAAACTGAATGTCGCCCTTGCGGAAATCCAAAGAAATAGAGTGAGCCTCGGCAGTGAAATGGATCGCGTCAAGCGCTTCTGCCTGGGCCTCAGTGAGTGGCGGTATATGGGCTGATCGCTTGCAGTCCATGTACCCTGTCAGATTTCGCCGCGAATATTGAATCATCAATCGCTCTGGGTCTTTCCCGGTGGCAAACTGGTAATAGAGAAGCGGCCGTAGCTTGTATACATCGCCCGTCGGCGCGAAGCTAAATACAGACATGTCTTATTAGTCTCTTGCACCGGAGCCTATGCCACTCTGTAGCGGTGGACTCACTCATCGAACGGCCAAGGCTCAGACAGCGTCTTGATCAGGTCTGGTCGTGTAGCTGCTAGAACATTGTACACATGGCAGGTACTGGCAAGGTAACTCTCACCACCCCAAGCACCCTCATTTAGACAGAATAGGGCGATGACATCCCCAGCATCCGTGTGAAACACTTGCTTGTCAGCCGTCACCACCGGACCAGGAATGTCCTTGGAGTTGCATGATTGACTCAGATCCTTGACATGAGCTATCATAACGTCGGCTGGCCTTCCTTGCCACTTACTATCCTGGCGACCGCGGATAGGGGCGACGTGTGATGAAAGACCAGTGTAAATTATAACGTTCTCTTCGCGTGTGTACTTGTCGACTGGCAGACCTCGGATGACTTTGAAGCCATAGCCTTCGTGAACCTGCTTCGAGATATCGCGCAATGTAGTATGCAACTTTGGCAGTGGGAAGGTGTTCGGACAGATTTCGCCCATTGGCTTTCCTAAGGCTGATAGAGATTAGGATGAGTTGGAGCCGATGGTCCAGGAAGCATGGGAAATAATTACATACACTGGAAGTATCGGAGAGCCTCATCTATCTCAGAGATATCCCCAGTGCTCAGTTGATAGTTCCAATCATATCTACCAGCAATGTTACTTGCATCCCACACTAGGTCACCTGACAGCTGTGTAGGGAAACCCTCAGGAAGATGCTTAGCCAGCTTTTCGGTTTCTTGTCTGCGCTTACTACGCGCCAGATATTTATCATGATCAGGCATGTAGTCAATATCAGCCTGCTGGGAAATAGTAGAGGCAACCATGGTGGGCGACATATGACCAGGTGTTCAAGGCACGCAGGAAATGCAGGAAACCGATGTGGATGGAGGCGTGACAGGTGTTGCATCTAAGGACACTGAGTTTTATATTACTCAGGGAGATGTATGGCGTGATAGTACATCGTGAAGAAAACCCTACCTCGTTTGCGATTCTGTAGGGCCATCTAAGAGAACTGTCGAATGGTTGGACTTAGAATGTAGTTCTCTGTAAGGAATGACAACTGCGGCATGTCGGGGTCAGTATCGGGATGTCGGCGTCACTGTCGGCGTCCCAAGATCTTTGCGCCGGCGTACGTGTAGAGGACCCGCTCATCTGATGAGTTGACGCCATGAATTTTGGTAAAAGACTATCAGTCCAGTTTGAACCCTATCAATTACCACCGTCTCGTGTGAGTCGCCATAGTGTCAAAAAGGTTGAAGATGTTGGCACTATCATGTGAACCAACTAGTTAACTTGTTGGTCCTTGATTAATTAGTCATATTCCCGCCGAGTCTTTGGTTGTCGACTCCCTGCCTAGAATCGAGACCTAAGAACATTAATTGAAGACAAACAAGTGTGATTTGCCGTTTGGCTTGACTATGCTAGTATCGGAGCGCAATAATGTCGTAATTTGGAAGTTGAATTATGTGATTACTTTATACCGATGATCTTAAGTAGGCCTTCTATCCTACTGCTCCATTTGAATGCTCGCGAGACCCTAATTCGGAGTCGGAGTAAATTTCGGAGTCTCACAAATCACAACCGCTTCCGCCGGAGAGAAAAAAATCACACAGCGGGCGGTGTGGCATTCGGTGCAGTCACTGATGCCCCAGAATGCCGACTCCGACATCATCGAATCGACTAACAGCGAAAGCTGGCAAGCTCCCTGCCTGTGATCCATGCCGAGCGATAAAGCTGCGCTGTGACCATGACAAACCGGTTTGCTCACGGTGCAGGGAGCGTGGCCGAGGTGTGGATTGTACCTATCGTTCTCGACCTTTCAAAAGACCATCTACTCGGGCTGCAGACTGGCGAAGGCAAGAGAATGATCAGGCTCATCATTCTAGAGTCACAGCCGATGAAACAATCAACCCTCCAGCAGCTTTCCAATACCCCAACCCAGGCTATCTAGGCTCGTCGAGTCATACAACGTTCTTCGATCAATTGCAAATTCAGAAGACCGCAGAAGTGGCTCCCACGACTGAAATCAACTCACACCCAAATCCGGCCGATGACTATATCTTCGACGATACCTGTATCGCCAAAGGTGCCGAACTAATCCTCGAACTGCACCGAGATTCATTGATTCCGCAGTTTACTCAGCTTTTCAGAAGATGGATAGCCACGGGGACCAATCTTGCTTTAGCTGGCCCGTTGACTACACCCTGCGCATCTACAACTTCTCATCTAATCTCAAACTTTGATGGAACACATGCATCGGCAACGACTATTTCCAGGCGCCTCTTCTACAATTCCCGCTGCCCTCTCCATCTCAACCATGACACAACATTGGACGAATACTGTGCTAACTTTTGTGGGCCTCATGCGCGATGGGAGACCTTGGGTCTTTTCTGTACCGCTGTCTGTCGAGCCTCTATTGACTTGACTTATGCAGAACCAATGTATGGCTCGGAGCAACAGCGTCGTAAAATTCAGAAGATGACACTCTCATACTCGGATCAATTCTTGGATCTATGTTTACCCCTTGACTGTATGAATGACCTTCAACTTTTTCTAACTTACGAAAACTTCATATCTCATTCGCAGGTTGATGGCGACCAAAGTATGTGATTCCGATTCTCCACCCCCAAAAGACGAAGGAAAAATGAAATCTCAGCTACACCTGTATTACTAAATACTAATTTGATATGATTCCAGGCTACTTGTCCTGGAGGAAATTGGGGGATGTCGCAGCGGCTCTTTTTGCCCTTGGTTACCACCAACAGCAAACAGAATCCTTTCGTGCAGCTTCTGCATTCCTACGAGATCTGCGTCAGGCCGCCTTCTGTCGAGCATACTCTGCCGACAAAAATGTTTCCATTTTTCTTGGCCGCCCACCTCGAATCCTTCGTAGGTTCTGTCATTTTTACCTACCGGGTGATCATGATGCGAATTCCCACGAGGCATCCCGCAGCCCAGCAGTTTGGCTTAATACTCAAAAGCTGGACTTTGCTATTGATTCGAGATGGGCTGGTCTCTGTGCTATTCTGAAGGATGATATATTGGACCTGTTCACCGAGGACAATTACGATGAAAGGGCCCGAAGAGCGTGGTAGGTTGAGTGTTCCATGTTCAAAAGCCCTTAGTGTGGTACTAACCCCAATAAGGCTGATAGAGGCTGATATCCAGGCCCAATGGCATGCCGTTCCTCGAAGCTGCCGGCTGGAATGTGGCCTTAAGGCCTGTGATCGACGACCAGTAGAACGAGACTTCATGGTTAATATGAAGTTGAACTACCTACATGTCCAATTCCTTCTGAGACTTGCATTAGTCCGCCCTATGTCTACGGAGCCCGACTCGGACTTGCTCGATATTTCTTTGAAGATGCTGGGCCTTGTAGTGGAAACCATTCTACTCAAAGACCAGATAGTGAACTCTGGCACATCGCTCGTATGGAAGGTGGGTTACGTTTGCATCAGAATTTGCAATGTCCTGTCTAACGAGAACGATTTCATAGGTCGCATACTACGGCTTGTCCGCTGCGGGAATGATTTGCCTAACTCTTGTCAAACGCTCATTTGCCATCCAGAGCTTTACACCAAGCTTTTCCAAGATATTCCAAGAACTAAGCATCCTTGCCGCAGAAATCGAACGCGGAACGTTAGTATATATAGACTCACCCAACTATGCCTTGCTAGCTCGCGCGACCCAAACTATAAAGGCTATCCTGGATCGGATGATGATGCCTTCCTCGGACAATACGATGGTCGCTTCAGATAACCGAATTGAACATCCAACTGCCTCCGTGCAAAGGGAAACTCTAGATGACGGATCCTGGTGGTTATGGGACAATACCAACCTCCAAGAATTTGAACTCAGTTTCTGGCACCATCTTGCTGGCCACCCGTCGTTAAACCAATGAAACCTTCCGTACCGATAGTACTTTGGGTATGATCAGGTATGCATTGGTGTCGCTGCGGGTCTTAGAGCTTACATGTTGCGAGCTGTATATATCAACAAAATGACGTGAATGTCACACATGGTAGAAGCTTAACGAAGAGTACAACACCTGTTCCTTGTCTGCAGATTGCATTGGCAGATTCTACTGCCGCTCAAGGGTAAATTAGAGGCCTTGACACCAGTTTACGGGCCTTTCTTTGGTGCACAAATACCACAGCTCGCTGCTGTTCATTGATTTATACAGTACGGTATTCTGGCACGTACGACTTGATCATTGTGGGAAGCAGAGCTTTACTGTTTGATTTGAATTCAGTCCCCAGTCTTTTAATACTTTGTTGTAATACATGATGTTATTACCATTCTATGTAATTTGACCATGACTAGCCTAACATTGATTAAATCTTTCAAAACATCCAGTTTCTGACACCTTCGCAGAAAGCTGACAACCATGTTATACACCTTGGCCGGCCATTGTTCGGACATCCCTCGGAGACATGCAAGCTGCGATCATCGGCGTTGTCTTCCCGCTGGTATCGGTCTGTTTCCAAGTCAATCTCACAAAGAGGAACAAGCTTGGTTCTCTTGTAAAGCTTCCAAATCAAGAATAGGGTGCCCATGATTGGGATTTCAATATAGTATGATACAAACCCAGCGGCATCGAACCTTGGGCTGAAGGATTTCCAGCCCTGAATGAGTACCAGAAAGAGATTCAACCCGGCAGCGAGCGCCGGGCCCCACGGATACGTGATGTTTTTGAAAGGTAGCAGGTGCTCTAGGCTCTGATGTCGGACGGCGGACCGGAAACGCAGCGAAGTCAGGCAGATGAAGAACCAGGATATCTGGTTTGATACCCCCACCAGGTTCTGCAGCCACGACCAGACCTGACCGGCACCGATCTTACTTGCCCCGAAGCAGAGGGCACTGATGGCTGCCGTCGAAAAGACCGATACCCATGGGACATTGAATCGGTTAAGGTGGCCCAAGAAACGAGAACCGGGGGTGTGACCGGTAATGGCAAGGGTGTAGAGAAGGCGTGCGCCGGCGAAGAGGGCGTGATTGGCAGCAGATATTGCACTGGTCATGATTACAGCATTTATAAAGCTGCCTGCCACGGTACTGCCGGCTTTGTCGAAGACAATGGTGAAAGGGCTGGTGGAAGCACTCTCTGTCGATAAGCCAGGATAATCGTAAGGAATATCGAGACCGATTATGATGATAGATACCACGTAGAAAAGAAGAATGCGCCAGAAGACATTGCGGATGACACGAGGATACGTCTGAGATGGATTCCGTGTCTCGCCAGCTGTAACGGCCACATTTTCGGTTCCGCCACTACCACTTAAAATCAGCGATCATCATCCAAATTCACTTGGGCCAGACATGTGAGGGTTACTAAGCGAAGGAAGCTGTCACAAAAACGGAAGCGAAGCCTCCAATCCCCCCGACAAAGGGCGCGTCCCCGGTGTAAAAGTATTTAGCGCCCAGGTATGTTTGGTCAGTATTAGCGCCACAGTTCACAGCAATCCCGACAATGATGAAGACCTAAATGACATAAGATGGAGGCACGAATCTAAATGACGGGCTTGTGCACATACAATGATGGTCACGACCTTCAGTAATGACAGCCAGTATTCGATCTGGAGGGATGGTCAATATAATGTCACATCTCACTCTTCATTATCAACAAGATACCTCTCCAAAGACCTTAACTGAGCAGATATTCAGGGTCAGAACAAGCGCAAGGCAAATGAGGCTTAAGACCCAGCCAGGGAAATGCTTCGTCCAGTATTCCAGCAAGACTTGCAATGCTATAATGTCTGAAGCTGTGGAGACAGCGTCATTCGCCCAGTAATTCCACGTTAAGGCGAATCCAAGCGCATCATCGACGAAACGCCTGTTCAATGTCAGCAGGAAAGGTGAGAACAACGCTTTCATTGATGCTTGGCATACCCTGAAAAGGTGCAAAACGAGCCTGCAACAGGCATAAATGCTACCATCTCTCCCAAAGAGAGCATGGTAAGGAAAACAATGGCACCGCATATAGTATATGCCAACAGTATTGACGCTGGTCCTCCAGTTGTGAGCGCCTTGCCTGTTCCCAAGTATAGCCCTGTTCCTATAGTACCCCCAATGGCAATCATCTGAACTTGTCTAGGGGACAATTTTCGAGCAAGTCGATTCGCTCTAATGTCCTCTAACTCTCCATCCATAGGACCAGCTGGAGGGATTGGACTCGGCGTACTGCCGGGTTGCAGCTTTTCGGCGTCGAAAAATGACATTTTGGTGGGCGAAGGCAACGGTGCTCTTAGAGATCCATCTACTACTGGTCAACGAGCTTTTCTTGTGTATATATGTTACCGGATGTGAGGATGCATTTAATACTAATGATTGCCACTGTCGGAAGTTGTGGGTCTATCAATCGCCGCTAGCCAGTCGGCGAGAGGACAAATGAGCAATCCAACCTTCTTGCTGTCGTCATTCGACACTCCGAAGCCTAGGGTCGATGGGGTTAGCTGATATTCCATCCCGTGCCCACTAAATGAAGCATTTTCTTGAATTATTGCCAACTTGCATGCTATCGAGGTGAGCGTTAACCATGTGTATATGTCACCGTACTACCAAACTTCCCACGTTGGCATTTTATTATCAACGTAGAATAGAATTGAACAGCACCGTATAATGGGAGTTTGGTTGTTCACACAAGTGGAACCTAAATGTATAAATGTCTCCCAGGCGGCTGTGCAAATCAATCACCAACGTATCAGCTTTACTGCCTGCTCGTATTCTTAGTTACTGCCTATTTTAGTAGTATGAACATGACCTCAACCGCGACTGGACCGAACAAAGAAATCTAGCTATCAATATGTTCCTGTGTGATTCTTGATTAGAGAACATTAGCAGATTTCATCCGCTGCTTATACCTACAGCTGCTTTCGTATTCTTAAATAGCTGCTTTCTTCGAAGATTCTCGGGTGATACAAGTGCTTTTGTACTGCAACGTCCTCAGAATAGTTGGCGTAGGCCAAATCCATGGTCGACAGAAAAAGGAAAAACTAGCCGCTATCATTTCAAATCATGCGAGGATCGCAAAATAATGCTACGAAATGAGGCAAACCAATTCTGATTGATGTTACCCAAGATGATTACATAGATTGCTAAGTATAATCCTCTTCCTCCATAATTAGGTTGACACTAGGGAGAAAAAATCACGTGTCACATTTCTTAGTCTGGAGGAAATATGTTCAAGCTATACTTTAAGTATATAGAAACTGTGAGATTTGTCTTACTTTAGCTACTGCGAAGTCCATGCTGGATCAAACTATCTGGGATTATCTAGCAGCAAGGAAGTTTATATGTGGGATTTATTAGAGCTTTAGACAACTAGTAGTATATAGAAAGATTATATGGCTATTAATACCCCGAGTGATTTCCCGTAATATCTTCTGTCAAGATTCCAAGGAAATGGTCTACAAGCTCAAGAGCAAAAAGGATTATTCCAACAAAAACGGTACACTATTTAGATGTGGCAAAGAAACACCTAACCAGGTAGTTTACCAGTTTAAATAAATATATTGCCATTATGGTAACATACTCTCATCTGTCCGGGCGGGCTCCAATGGTCATCTACAATGGCCCCTAAAGATGAGGACCACCACAAAATCTAGTTACCCAACCACTGTCGTAACCATATTGATTAGTGAAGCTCTCATAATATCAACAGCAGATAGCCGTCAAATTTCCGCAATTACATCATGTTTATATTAGACTGACCCAGGATAAATCTTAGCGCTGACTCTGTTCTTTGATGGATAACCATCTAGCACGCTCAATTACTGTAGACGCATATATTTATAGTACATCCCCCAGTGCAGTCTCTCGACCTGAAACAACTGACTGCTACCTGGACACCTAACACTTGGTCTGACACAATGATTGAGTTATCAACTACACACGTAGTGGAGCTTTAAGCATGATAGAGGATGGCGCATCTCTTGGAGGAGTTCGATCGGAATGCCTTGAACGTTCATTGACAGAAACAAATAGAATACACACGTCAATAAGTAGCCAGTACAGAGCTGGAGTAACCTATATCGCGCATCCATAGTGTGCTCAATGCCCGAGGATCATCTTCGGGGATGCGCAGATGCAGCCACCAGTGACTAACCACTAATCGGGACTAGGGATCGGCTACTTCTCCGATATTGTCGAGGGAATTGAAAGGGGCCGCCGAACCTCCTTGATCCAAAATCACCTCTTATTCCATGTTCCACGATCTTTTCATTCCGCCCCAGTCACACGAAAACACTCTTCCGAAGGACAGTTGTGTTTTATAACCTGTACTCTTTTGCCCCTTCATTTCCAACCCATCAACTCCCGTTGGGGTTGCAAAAATCCAAGATCTCCACTCCAGTCTAATGTAAGTTCTCTATCTGCGAGTCAGACTTCTAAGAAAAGGCCTATTCTAAAGGTTTGCGAAGACAGCAAGATGATTGTGACGCGCGGAATATCATTGACAAACTTTGTCGTGGCATCATCGGCACTCGCATTCCAAGTTTTTGTCCTGTATCCATGGCACAAGCAGCTCGATGACGGATTCGAGGCTCTTAAGAAAGAGCACCTCCGAGTCCTAAAGTCTCTCGAACAGCTACAGCATGACAGCCGGAAGCAGCTTGACGAACGATTGGCTTAAGATATGGATGGATCACTACGGCGAAATGAGGCGATAGAATAGACGAGTTGGGTTAATCAAACGCGGCATAGACACGGCCTCCTTCTCGATAGTAATGTCGGATTACATGAGCCAACGAAAATATATACTGAGGACAATGTACAGGGGTCTTACAATGAGCTTATCGAGTGTCTTGTACTTTCCAGATTTGAAACAGCGATGTAGTACTGCCTTGAAAGTCGAGAGCTTGTAACATTAGCCACTCTTGAATTGACGGACGAGCGACGCAAGCAATGTGTTAATTGAACTACGATGCATCATTTTTCGAGGAAATGACCGCCGCAGAAATTGAAGGTTTTTTTTTTTTGGTTCGCATACGGCCGCGATGATCGGAGTGAACTCCGGTCCGGTCGGCCTTGGTTAAAGACACACCCATAGCCCCCCTTGGGTAATAAACCGATAGGCGTAAGGTAGTATAATGCGGGCATTGATATTGCGCGCATCATTGGTCAATGTGGGTCTTTCCAGTGTATCCAAAAATACGAACCCCTTTTGGTTCATCTGGACGGAGATGGTTCGTATCAGTCGGATCCGACTGATAAGGAACCTTGGGTCAATCATTGCCCCAATGGACAGGGAGAAGGAATGCAGACCGAGGGATGAAGAAGCGGTCCTTGCTACCAAGTACGTAGGCTCTTCCAAACTTCCTTATTCCTGCGTAGACAACATTTGTACAGCTTTCTAAACTTCCGCCTAACTAAATGATTCTCCTGTTGTGTGACTCGTCAGCCGCCATTGTCAAGATCTATAGTACCACACGCATTATTTCCAAACGTCGGGAACCTAAGGGTTCGGCACCCAGACAATCAAAGTCTTACTCATCGGAGAGTGCAGATACATGCGCTGTGTGGCACCAGGGGGCCCACCTGAAGAGAAAGCTAGTAGACCTCATAAGAGTCGATGATATACGATGATAACCGATCATGGATGCATGTATTGCGGTAATTCGTACAAGTATTGATCACATCTCTGACCTCTGTCCCAATAACACTGTAGTTGTTGCGGGTAATGCTGTCTTTAACCCACCGGCCTGACCAGAGTATGACATCGAAGGTGGCACATACCTGGAGACCAGAATATATTTTTGATCATGGTTTCCGTAGCGATAGGGAAGGTCGCATTGTGTAACCACTGTATAAATATACGCGACAAATGAGTAATCTGTCTGAAGCTTCCTGCTCAGTCATGTCGGACAAAACGTAGGCATCTTAGTGTCTGTAGCCTGAACAATTAGTATGATGCAGGCCATAAGATTGTGTAACATTAGCTCTAGTTTGTCAGGCAGTTATCTAACATGAATATAACACCGTCGACAGGTAAAGAATAAACCTGATTCTGCGAGGTTGAGTCGTTGTTTGGTTTAGTAATCTGGTTATTATGTGGCACAAAAGCCGTTGCAGTGTGGAAATAGGGGCACTTCGCCAGAACCTTGTAGTGGACAGATGATGTAGCAGACATGTGATGAATAAAGCCGGAGAGGAAGTTATTTACATGACTTATAGCTTCAGTTAGGATGGTAGTATTTTCCTTTGGTGTATTGATGATGGTCACCGTGTGTGTAATAGGTGAATCCATGTATCTAACACTCCAAAACGTGTGATGTTGAAGGTCATTACTGCTTAGCCATCACCATATGACTTCATCGTATGCAACAATCAATGTAAACTTATCAAAAATCCATAGAAATAGCACTGGCATAAAAAGGCCACCTGTCATGACGAGGTACGGGGCTACTAAGCAGCGAATTTCCCAACCAACTGACACAGGCTTTCCAAATTCAGAAATAGAAACACAAACTCAAGTAAAATGAAATCACAATCGAATGCCCTAAGGAAAGAGGCACATAGCGGGTCGCAATAATACATCTGACCATTACTGCTTACCCTAGCGCGTGAATTTTCATACCCACATAAACATATTAGGTCAATCTTGCTTACCCCCGATCCAACTTTCCTTGGAGGCTGCCATCGTCTAACAAGCTGCCAAACATTGCAGCTTCATACAAGTAGTTGACCTGGAGTGCATGCTGACAGGCATGGGCTATTAACCAGGTCATCTCGCTGACCAGTCCCGCTGAGTATGTTGATGCTATTGCCACTGAAAGGCATTCAACCAGGTTCCGTTCCTTGTCCTCATCAACAACACCGGCTGAGGCATATTGCAGTATCGCTGGTGATAGCAACCACCATAAATACGAAAGACTGGGATCATCCCACGACTTCAATCGCTTTTGTACATGATCGCAGTATTCATGCCCATCGCAAGGACTCTGAAGAGGTCGACTGAAACCCGTCGTCCGGTAATCAGGATCGAATGTTTCGCCAAAGTCAGCCTCCCTCTGCTCAGTATATGTCTTCCGCACTTTGTGGTAGCCGAGCAATGCCCTGCGAAGAAAGTTATGCCGATCATTGAGGATATGCCAGACGTAAAGGTCCATGCATATCTTAGCGCTTGGGTCAGACCAACGCTCAGTCAACATCCTTGCACTGTTTTGTACACATGCATCATAGGCACATCTCAGGTTTTCCTCAGTAATGACCCCAGCATCGCAAATATCTGCTGTATTCAACAGTGCATTTAGTAGCTCTGAATTGACAAGATCAGATCCAACGTCCACGATGTCGGTTAATGGAACACTCTGCATCAAGTCATGTGCTGTAGCCGCACAATCGAAGCCGCGTGCTATTGCCTCAACACCACATGGCCAGATAGAACTCTCGCAAATCCATAAAGGTAGCGCTTGGTCACGATTGACCCGTGCTACCTTACCCGAGAGGTGTGTGACGTATTGCTCTTCTAGCGATGTCTTTTCTCTCATGTATCGCAGGGCCAAACCTGCGGCGGTCCTTCGATCTCTGCCGCCTAGCGTAACTAGCGCATGAGGGTCGTGGATCGCATGTTCGATGGTGCTAACAAAGTCTGGAAACACATGATGATAGGCATGCTCCCAATAGAAAATCATGTCAAGACAATAATTCGAGTAGAGTGTGTGGGCATCGTAGGCTCCACACAGCATATTGAACAGACCACAGCCGAAGAATGCGGCCCGAGTTAACAGCGGCTCAGGCCAGTCCTGTGCATTTAGAAGTTCGATGACCTTGTCTGGCACTCGTGCCAAGCCGCTGCCTTTAGATGGCAATACACGTCCAGCACGATGTTGATCCGTTCGCCATTGTTGCAGTTCTGGCGATAGCTTGAGATCAACTAGATGACGATGTGGAATCTTTGATCCCCCATGTTCATCTATCGCCTTGAAAACGGAATTCAGCTTTTCCAAACCGCAAGTCACAATCCCGTCCAGTCGAAGAAGGGAACAGTCACCCATTAGATTCCGACATTCTTCATATCCGCTTACTGGAAGAGGTTCTGGGACATCTTTATTGCCCCAGAAATAAGGTGTCAACTGCTTGACAGGTTGGGCAGGCTGCATCGTCGTCTCTAAAAACCTTTCTTGCGGCAAATCCTGCTGATCTCCATTTCTAGCAGACATTTCGAGTCAGTTGGAATAAGACAGTGGTATTGAAGAGCGGTTTAGCATTCACTGTTCTGCGCTTCCTCTTTTATATGAGTATATGGACTGGCGCTGACATAGCTGATAATCGTAAACTTTGTAGGCCTTTGTTGCATTCCTGGGTCCAAAGAAGAACTGATAATAACCACAACTAATCTCCTGGCCACACAAGATCCAAGTACTAGTCACTAGTGAAGCACCATCACTAATTAGGAGACCCTTGGGTTTGCGTCCCGTAAGGGACTCAATGTCCAATGTCTCTAGATGGCTACAGACATGAAGTCCTATATCTCAAATTCCATATTTAGTTCTAGCCTCTTCGATGATGTTAGGTGCTGAATCAAAAGCGGCAATCCGGCTTGTCGTCTGCCCAATTGTCAGCGACTTGGCGGAGTGGTGAAGGTCTCGTGTGCTACTCAGAATCGGTGCTCGTCCTTATTGAGAATGTTATGATCTGCAAGGAAAAACCGTGGTGTTGCTACTTCCAACGAGCCAATCATAGTTGTTGTCGAAATGCAACGCTCTTGAAAAGGTAATTATTCATACTCAAGACCTTGGTCATCACAGCATAGTACAACGTGAACCACAATCATGTGGCCCCATCTTGTAATAATATACAGAATCATATTTAACTTTTTAAAACAGATATAAGAATTGTATCACAGACAATAGATCCTTATGTGTATATGAATATATGTAGTGATCGACAATCAGGAAAAAGATATAAATGATCTCCAAGATTTTGAGAACATCTCGTATAAATCAGTAATTAAATATTTCATTTATTATTGATGGAATGAAGATAGCTCATATTGATAGTATGTATCTGGAGATAAAAAAAGAAAAAGAAAAATAGAAAAAGGTTTTTCAGACCTATCATTCATATGTTACTGACAAAGTCTGATACCCTATATATGACTGGGATATGTGAAATTGAGAAAGTGCTTTTAAGATAGTATAACAGGATGAGCCGCGCGATCGTGGTTTATGTCATATGACACGCGTTTTGAAGATCCCTATGACACCACCAGAGGTACTTGGCTGTATGGACTACAGATGATTGGCGTCATTGATTAATTCAGACAAGTGGTTATTCTTACTAGAAGAAATGCCACAGCCTCACCATACGGTAGAGTCCGATTGGATCCGTTTTTAAAACAAACACTCAGTTCATGTCCTCTCTTTTTCTCAGATTCACTGGCAGTGGGGTCTTGACCCAGACAGCATATGTCTCCTGATCCTCCCAGCGTCCGAGGGGCCCCTCAGGCTGCATGTCAAAGTGATACAGAATTTTGCCTAGAATAAGGAAGATCTCCATGCGTGCCAGATTCTGACCAATACAGTCCCGGGGGCCTTGTAGGAATGGTTGCGTAGCATGCCGCCGGTCCTTTTCGAAGGGGTCATTCGGCGGAGATGAAACCGACTGGCGCGAGTTGAGCCAGCGCTCAAGGTGGAAGGCCTGAGGGTCGGTATAGTTCTGTGGGGAGACATTGGCAGCCCATTGCATGTAGGAGACAACGGTCTGTAATTCATCGTTAGCTTCTATGAGTCTAGATTGTCTCATTCTCCGTTCTAAGCCAGAGCGGGCATGCAATTAATGAGAAAGGTGCCAACAAAATTGACTTACCCCCTCTGTGAAATACTCCCCATTAATGGTGTGGCCCCCAATGGGAACCAGTCGAGTTAAACCCAGGGGCACGGGGGAGGTGAGGCGAATGCCTTCCTTGATCGCTGCTTCTAGTATGGGGAGCCTGAGCAGGGTGGACACATTTATCTGATCAGCAGAGAGAAATGCACCGCGCACCTCGCTCGTCACGCGATCCATTGTTTTTGGATTTCGAAGGAGGTGGAAGAGAATGCCAGTGATGGCGGTTTGAAGTGTGTGGCTCCCAGCAACGATGAGGGTCGCAGCGTTCACTACCATCTCGTCTTCGGAGATTTCCCGGCGGGATTGCTGCTGCAGAAGATGTGCTAGGAAATCCGGCCTAATAACCCCTGCGGCATCATTTCCTCCCGTACTGGCATCGCTTTCCAGCTGCTGCAACCGGCGCTTCACCTTTTCCTTGGTTGTGGCTTGGTGCTGGGCCATGAGGACTCCCGCAGACTTGGGTAGGCGCTTGACGAGGTAGTTGAACAACCAGGGATAGAAGCGGCAGGAGGCTAGCTGGACTTTGGCTTTGAGCGAGTAGACGAGTTGGCCCACCCATTCGTGGTAGCGTTGATTGTCCAAACAGCCAAAATCGTCGCCGAAGCTTAGCTTGCAGACGATATCAAAGGTGCAGAAGCTGATCCACTCTTGCAGATCAACACTTTGCGTAGCTAATTTGCTCTGGGACTGCATTTGGGTGATCATCTTGTCGACGTAGCTGGCAACGAGCGGCTCCTGGGCGCTTAAGGCCTGGCTGCTGAAGGCGGCCGCATAGGCCTTGCGGAGTCGTGTGTGGTCAGCATCGCCCGCATCGAGAATGCTAATGGGCTGCCCTGGCCTTGGAGGTGCCTGGCGGATAGGATCTTTGGGAAGTGACTTGAATCCGCCGCCACTCGGTCGGCGCTGATAGATGTCCTTGACGGTGTCGGGGTTGATGAAGGACACCTCATTTGGGGCAACGCGGACGGTCTCGCCATAAACCTCGTGGAACGATTTTATTTTGTGGGCTAGCTTGCCATTCCGGAATGCTAGCATATACGGCACACGGGTTAAGGCCCAGAGAAGCGGTCCATTGTACCGAGATAGCGGGTGGAAGTAAAGCCGCTTCAGGGCCAAGAGGATGGGAAGCTAGAAGGCGTGGGTCAGAGAAGGGGACACTCTTCGTGGTTTCGGCCCCCATCAGGGCTGGGGACGGCTGAACTCACAAGGAGCAGGGTGATCAGGGTGGCAGTGATGGACGACGGGATTGCCATGGTTTCAACATGCACTCAGCTACAACACCAGATAGTAAGAAGTCACAGGAATTGGGACCGACAGAGGAGGCAGCGCCTGCAGGGGAAGAGGTGCCGTTTGTTTAATAAAGGCCGCCCCCAAAAGTACAGGCCCATGACCTAAACTCAATTCCGCCGTCGTCTCCACAGACATGCATTACAAATAATCCTATACAATTCACCCACCGTTAGGTGGCTGTTCCATGCGGGTGAGAATTTAGTGTCACTGTTAGCGTGGCGGGAAAGAAAGCTACAAACAACCAATTTCGCGGTCCCGAAAGCGCCTCGCATGGTCTCCTCCGAATCCAAGAGCGATAAGAGCCTTCGGCTTGCCCTACGTTGACCACTCCAACGACTCTCTTGATCCTCATCATTATCACCCCATTCTTGATTCGACATTCCAAATTGTTCTTTTGCGGTTCACGATGATTCAATCAATCCTTCCATCAATGATCGACCAGACGTTCCGGTATTACGTTACCATCGCCGGTCTGTCACTCATATACTTTGTGATCCAACACTGGCTCCGCACAAAGGTTGGAAATGCCGCCTTCAGTGCCCCTTTCGTTGGACTCAAGTATGCTTGGTTGGCTCGGTTTCAGTTTTTCTTTTCGGCCAAGTCGATCTTGCACGAGGGTTACACGAAGTACAAGAACAGGCCGTGGAAGCTCACTGGAAACGATGTCATCGTGCTGCCTCAGAAGTACCTAGAGGAGATCCGCAAGCTGCCTCCAAATCGCGCAAATGCAATGAAGGCAAATCTGGACAACATGCAGAGCAAATACACACATCTGGATGTGCTGAATTCGACACGCCTGTTCGTCGATGTGCTCAAGTGGAAGGTGAACCCACAGTTGGCGATCTTAATACCAACGGTGCGAAAGGAGCTAGATGTGGCCTTTGCACACGAGCTACCTCCAAACATCAGCGAGGATGAATGGACAAGCGTCCCAGCATTCCACACTCTCCACCGGATCGTTGGACGCATCTCAGCTCGCATTTTCGGCGGCCATGAGCTGCGAGATGACAATCGCTGGGTCGCCTCGGCCGAGGGCTACCTCAATAACATATTCATTACTGCTATCTCCATCCGACTGGTGCCCTATGGGTTTAAGACGCTTGCCTCCTGGTTGCTGCCCTGCTCGTGGGAGATTTCGTGGCGCTTCTGGCGCGCAAAACGTATTCTACTGCCATACATCCGCTACAGAAAGCAGATATACGCGGAGCGCCGTGATGAGATCCAACGCAAGGGCAAATCCGAGTTTCCAGACGTGCTTCAGTATCTCATTGAAGCCGCCAAGGGCAAAGATGCCGAGCCGCTGCGGCTAGCGTCTATGGTACTTGCTCTTTCCCTAGCCTCCAACCACACAACCGCCATGGCTTTGACGGAAACCTTGTACGACCTTTGTGCCTACCCAGAGTATCAGGATGAGCTCCGCCAGGAAGTCCTCGATGCCTTGGAGGTTGATGGCGGATGGGAAAAGACCACCCTTCTGCGTATGCGCAAGCTCGACAGCTTCATGAAGGAATCTCAACGCATGAACCCCCCAAGTCTCAGTATGAATGACCCCATCTCTTCGCGCAATTCAGCCTAACCGTTTTAACGTACTACTTTAGTGGGATACAAGCGTCAATTTACCGACGAGATTGAGCTTAGTGATGGCTTACACCTGCCGGCAGGCTCACACGTCGAATTTCCTATCGTCCCGATCCAGCACGACAGCGTAGAGGATCCCACACGATTCGACGGACTGCGCTACTACAGGTTACGTCAGAGCCGCAGCGAGACCTACCGTCATCAGTTCGCAACGACCAGTCCAACCAGCTTGCATTTTGGGCACGGGCAGAATTCATGTCCAGGGCGCTTCATGGCTTCGAATGTTATCAAAATGGTCCTCGGCACGCTGTTGACCGAGTTCGAGTTCAAGCTCGAGCAGCCGGGACGTCCCAAGGGGCTCCACCCATTCGAGTTCAATTTTCCTAGTCATAGTGCTAAGCTG